TCCCTGTGATCACTAAAAGGTTCTCAGAGGTTTTGTCTTCTGAACAAATTGTGAGGTCATTGTGCAGTTGTTTCATCATATGCCTAGAATCAGATTTTTAAAAAATAAATAAATAGTACGGCCTTATTTTACCAGATTACTGCTCAACTCATTAGTATTGGGTTCATGTATCAGAGGGACTTGTTCCTTTGGGATCCCTCACAGACCCATTCCTGGGTTCTGCTTCTTTTTCTGCACACGCTATCTCTTCCTGATCACAGTCCCATGAATATGCTGATGACACCTGACCTTACTCTTTAACCCAGAACTTTGCCTCCAATAGACACTCCTGCATCTCCAACTCCCTAGCTGTTATTTCCACCTGGATATCCAGTTCAACACCAGGTAATATGTCGAAAACCAAACTTCTCCTCTTCTCTAACAGACTTTCCAATTCTCATATAATCTGTACATCCAGTGACCACCCACCACACTGAGCAGGCCCAAATGTTGGTTGACCTTACTGGAATACAGTCATGCTAATGTCATGGAAAGAAACATTTGGACACAGTACTTCATTGGTTGTTCATGTTATCATATGCTGCCACTATATATATAGCAACATTAGAAGAGAAGAAGAAGTGTTTGGATTTGATATCCCGCTTTATCACTACCCAAAGGAGTCTCAAAGCGGCTAACAATCTCCTTTCCCTTCCTCCCCCACAACAAACACTCTGTGAGGTGAGTGGGGCTGAGAGACTTCAGAGAAGTGTGACTGGCCCAAGGTCACCCAGCAGCTGCATGTGGAGGAGCAGGGAATCGAACCCGGTTCACCAGATTACGAGTCCACTGCTCTTAACCACTACACCACGAATCTTAGAACTGTAGAGTTGGAAGGGATCCTGAGGGCCATCTAGTCCTGCAATGCAGGAATCTCAACTAAAGAACCCAATCTCTGTTTAAAAACCTCAAGCCACCCTGAGCCCAGTTTCGGCCAAGAAGGGTGGGATACAAATAAAAGTTGTTTCTTCTTCTTCTTCTTCTTCTTCTTCTTCTTCTTCTTCTTATTATTATTATTATTATCAAATGAAGGAGATTCCACCACCTTCTGTTCCACTGTTGAACACCTCTTACTGTCTGAAAGTTTTTCCAGATGTTTAGTCAGAATCTTTCTTGTAACTTGAAGGCATTTGTTCGAATCCTACCCCCCAGGACAGGAGAAAACAAGCTCATTCCATCTTCCATGTAACAGCCCTTTAGATATTTGAAGATGGCTATCGTATCTCCTCTCAGTCTCCTCTTTTCCAGGCTAAACATACCCAACTCCCTCAACTGTTTCTCATAAGGCTTGGTTTCCAGACTCATTATCATCTTGGTTACCCTCCTTTGCACATGTTCCATGTGTAGCTACTTCATAATATTGTTGTGCACCTTCCATATAAGATTGTAGGGAGAAGTTACAGTGAAACTACACACTTTGGTTTGGTGAGATCACTGAAAAACACGGTGTAGAAATGTAGAAATATTGAGTTTATTACAAATATACTAGCTGAGTGGAAACAAAAAGCATAGCAATCCTCCAAAGAAGAAATCCATTGTTCCACATCAAATCCCCAGAGAGGCAGCCTCCCCCGAGTTCTTTCTAGTGCTCAAAACTATCTTTCCACCTGTTTCAGTTTGTCTTAAGGCACATGAGGACACCAGCTTGCTGACATAAGGTAGACCTGGATCTGGTCAGTGCCTGGGAACCAAATGTATACTTCCTTGGCTCCCTTGGCAGGATATAAATGTAGGAAAACATGTTTCTTTTCTTCACACAGAGATTGAGATTACATCATCCTTGGCTGAAGCAGGGAGAGAGGTGTCACCTTTCCCCTTAGGAACTCTCAAGGAGGATCCAGCTGCTTCCTGGGTTTTTGAGAAAAACATACACCAGCCATTCCAGTCCATTAGCTCAGCCACTTGACAGACTAAGGATCTAGCTGGCATATTTAGCTCTTGATCATTGAAGAACTTTCAATTATCTTTCTGCCCCAACTTTTTCATTTCCAAAACCCAGACTCCTTCACAGCAATCAGAGGTAGTGATGCCACCACAATAGTAGTAGTAGTAGTAGTAGTAGTAGTAGTAGTAGTAGTCTGCCAATTTGGCTGGGTTGCCCAAGCTATTCTGGGCAGCTTCCAGCAGATACAAAAACATAATAAAAGGTCAAATATTAAAAACTTCCTGATATAGGGCTGCCTTCAGATGCCTTCTGAAAGTTGTGTAGTTCCTTATCTCCTTGACATATGATGGGAGGGCATTCCACAATGTGAAATATCCCTTAGTGGGCTGTGTAACTGTGTTATGATCTAGAGCAAAATAGCTGTTTGTGGCTCTTTGGTTTCTGCTGTTGGATTTTTAGAACAAAAGATTAATCTAGAGTAGCCAATTCTGTTCCTGCCAGCTACATAAAGCATCTGGGAGCATTGTTGTGGCCAGCCCAGGATGTGGGTGAGGGGACCAAGCTGCTCTGTCTGCAAATGCACGCACATTGACACTGGTATCTAGCGTGTGGTCACAGGCTTTCTATTCCATGACTATGTCCCCTAAGGTCCTATTTGGCTGTTTTCTTTTTTAATCCGGACACTCAGGTCCACCTCCGAGGGCCTTCCAGCGGTTCCCTCACTACAAGAAGTGAAGTTACAAGGAACCAGGCAGAGGGCCTTCTCGGTTGTGGCGCCCGCCCTGTGGAACGCTCTCCCATCAGATGTCAAAGAAATAAATAACTATATGGCATTTAGAAGACATCTGAAGGCAGCCCTGTTTAGGGAAGTTTTTAATGACTGATGTTTTAATGTATTTTTAATCTTTTGTTGGAAGCCACTCAGAGTGGCTGGGGAAACCCAGCCATATGGGTGGGGTAGAAATAATAATAATAATTATTATTATTATTATTAATTAATATTTTACCATAATGCAATAAAATTATGGCTGTTTTCTTGCATCCAACCAGCCTACTCTCTGTTTCAGGGCTGCCCAGGGCTGGATCTAGACACATCACAAAAGCAATTCAGTTAAAGGCATTGTAAACTTCATGGAGGGAAATCCCATTGGCAAAAGATGGGACTCCACAGCGCCATCTGGTGTCACAGTGTTATATACAGTGGTACCTCTGGATACGAATGGGATCCTTTCCGGATCCCCGTTCGCATCCTGAAGTGAATGTAACCCGCGCCTGCACGCCTGCACGTGCACGGGTTGCAATTCGCCGCTTCCGTGCATGCGCGTGATGTCATTTTGAAAGCGCTCAACCTGAAGCATATTTAACCCAAGGTATGACTGTATAGCATGCATATAAAGCACTTTATCTTTACAAATGTAGCTGAGTCCTAGGATTTTTTTTAACCTGACTGTACATTGTTCAAGCAGTGTTGTTGGTTTTTTTTTCACCTACTCTGTACTGGATTTGGAGGTGGTGGTATTTAGGGGTTTATTTGGTTACATGGTTGCATTAGTCACATAGTTGGCAGGAAGGTGTGGGAAAGCTTACAGTTAAGTTAGGTAACAGCTGAACACTCTGAGGCACCTTTGGAGGCAAAGGGCATTTCTGGAAGCCAGCTGCTCTGGGTTGTGGGGACTTTAGCCTGCATATGTTCTTAAGATGTTTGGCATACATTTTAATGCAAAACTCCCTATTTACACTTCATGCAACAAAATTGGATACAAAAAGCATCTAGCCTTCAAAATTCACACTTTTCTGAATTTTGTGATGCAGTTCTCTACCCAAATATGTGCATATGTGTCTATTGGGGGGGAGTCTAATAACATATGTATTAGTGAAAAAAAAAGATAAAATTGCATTATATTTGGGGGGGAATTCTTGCAAAAATGTGTGAATCTGGAGAAATTTTCACTAAAATGCTGAAATGGGAACACACACAGAGAGAGAGATGTGGAATAGTTGATAACTAGATTATGATGAGAAAAATTAGAAACAGAAAAACCAAAATGGAGAGATCCACCCATCCTAAGTGGTGGCTAAAATGACTCTTTGAAGTTACATCAATGAGTTATTTATAGCTTCACTGACCAACTTCATACTGTGTCTCCACCAGATTCCATGCTTTGTTAGAACCTTGTGCATAGACCATAGAAAAAAACATGCTGCATTTCTAGTAATGCCATTCCTAGCTTGCTAGCGCATGGCGCTCCCATTGAACCAATGTGTTGATGTTCCAAATCCAGTTTTATTACTAGTATGACCCCATGGCAACTGAAATAAAAATGATCTTCCATAGGAGGCAAGGCTAAAGCATTTGGATTTTTTTAGTTGTGAAGGAAGATGAGTGAGGAAACCATGATAGATGCATACAATTTGTATACATATGCAATATGTAGGAAGTGAACAAAGAGATTCCCCTTCCATCTTTCATAACACTAGTATTTATTGTTACTGAATATGAATGGCAGTAGATTCAGGACAGACTTCTCTGTGGAGCCCATGCCTAAGAATTAATATATTGAATTCAGTGTTATTCAGTGTGGTGCTTGTGTGGCTTTAAAAGGCGATTGACAAATTCTTAGACTGACAAATTTCTCATTGGCTTTGATAACTAATTGGAGCCTTCATCTTCCAGGGAAGTATGCAACCAAATATCAGTTGCCACAGGGCATCAACACAAGCATGTGAGAAAGAGGATGCTGAATTAGTGGATCTTTACTCTGATCCAGCAGGGCTCTTCATATGTTCTCATGATCCCATCCTCAGCAATTATTTAACCTCATTGGGATCAGAACATAAATCTTGATCGCTTGCAGACATTGGCACTTGCCCAAAAGGAATAATTAGCATTTGCTTAATTAAATATTTCCCCATTACAAATATCTTCTGAACTATGCTTAAAAGTTATTCACAGATGGCATTTTTTCTGAGTGACAAGATTAATAAGTTCTTGGCCTATGGAAACTTTGTAAAGACATGTTAACGATTCTCCCACCACCGCCTCCAATGGTGAATAGACTTTCTGTTACTGTTACAGATGGATGCAGATGGTGAAGATAAAAAGCTACGCACACGTTCAAGAGGAACCAAGGGTGAGTTAGAAGACCCCTTCTATGACCCTGTGCCCATCACACCATGAAATGTAAATTTCTGCACATGGTCCCAAATGTGTCATCAGCGAGTCTACACCTTCCTGAGGGCTCATTTTAAATCAAGCCAGGACACAAACTGCAGAGATTAGGAAGTGAAATGTTATTTAGATGTGTGGGAGAGTGGAGGTGGAAAGAAAATCTCACAAATGTACAATCATTTCACAGAGATAATCTAAAAATCCAACTAATGCTGTTGGATAGGTTGATGCAGAATGGCTTTGAACATGCAGACGGTGATTTTAATAGGTATTGTCTCCCAAACAAGAATCATCCTCTTCCAATTATATGTAAACTGTGGTAAACCATGGGAATACATTTTACTGTTTTGTCTGCTTTTTGTTGAATCAAATCTGCTATTGGCAAGTTGAAAAACAAAAACAAAAAAACCTTAGCAATATAAAGTTGGATCTGCTTCCATCCCAAAACACTGCAATGTCCCTAATGTTTTTGTATTTATCTGTTCAAATGTACGATAAAAAAGTTAAACTTTCGGTTTTTCTCTCATTGGGTAAAGAACAGATGGCGATGTAATATTGAGATTAAAAGGCCCCTTAATGATCTAAACATCTGGAAAACATGATTGACTAGTCATACAACCCCTTAAGGAAAATAACTTTTTATTATAATTGGTAATGCTTTTTGTGACCCTTGATTGTGAGTGGGAAATGGGCATATGTAAAATAAAATAGAGATATTTTACCTCCAGTTGAAGCAGATTTTACTTATGAAGTTGTAGCTAAACTTAAATGACTAGATGTAATGCTAACAAGTCTAATTTGCCAGTGCAATTAATTAACCACATATGCCCTAAGGGTGTTTCTACACATGACTCTCTAAAGTGCCTTTGAAGCATCTATTTACTTATGCCCTGTATGAATGTTGCTAATGCAGTATAGATGAGTCCATTTTTAAATCAAGTGTACATCCTAAGCAAATAGTAGCAAAAAATGATTCAACCACTACTTGCGGAAATGCCCTATGAGCAGCACAGAGCTGGAAGAAAATGGGAAGTCAGCTACTCAGATAGCAGAGCCAGATCTGATCTCACAGGCATCCTTGTTATCTGTGTAGTTATGTGGGGGACCAGGAGAGGTTAAAACCAGCGATCTATGTAGACTGCAATGCACAGCCCATTGTTGCCTTGTTCCATGGACACTTGAGGGTCACATGGAAGGTCAAGTCAAGTCTGGTCACAGTAGGCAAGAGGAGGTCAAGTAAGCAAGGTTAGGTCAAGATAGGCAAATCAAGTCACATCAGGCCAAGTTAGGTCAGGGCAGACAAAGTCCCATTGGGGCAAACACTGTTATACAGAGAGCAGGCAAAACAGGACCATAACAGCTTCAAGGGAGCCCTGGCAGCTGAAACTATCCCCTACGAAGGTAACTATAGGTAAAAGTTATCTCAGTAGGCTGACAATATCTATAGTAAAGTTGTCTGTGCTTCTCTAGAAGGGGTGCCTGGGCTGTTAAATGCTATGATTTGCCCACATTCCAACTAGCCATGACTCCTCATAATGTTTGGGGCAAACAAAGAGAAACACTTTGACCGTTTAAGACTGTTTAGAACTACTTCACACATTCTTATATGGAAAGCACTTGCCACATAGGAAGTAATGAATAGATAATCACAAAGTAAGTGTTCATTTCACTCTGTACAGCAATCCTTACACAAGGGATGATCACAACCTGTATGTGGATGATGTACTAATTTATATACGGCCCTGACTACCATGTACAAATTTTGTTTCTCATTACCCATTATACCAAATCCTACAGTGAAGGCAGGCATGGCATAGCTGGAGCAACTCAGCCCATACTGCTTTCCTTCTAGCTTATTGTTGGGTTGTGAATCACAATCATGATATTGTAAAAAATAAATAAATGGGGGGGAGGGGTGTAGGAAAACATTCCTTACTGCATTTGTGGGACCTTACATATGTGTGGGTGTCACATAAAGGGAGTCAGATTTTAATGACCCAACCTTGTGAACTGAGTTGTCCACATTGTACCCACATTGCTGGGAGGTCTCAGCACCCCACACCTAGTGGGGTGCCAACTCCATGGCTGGAAGCTGTAATTCTGCTCACAAGATTGGGTCATTTAAATGTTACCCAAGATACACAGAAGCTGCTTATAGCAAAGTGGCTTGCAGATGGTTATAGTGATGGGATCCTTAATTTGGGCTATTTTTCTGTGGCTAATACAATGTATTCAGCAATTCTATTTTTTTAAAAAAAAATATTGGCTGATTAATCACTGCACCAAAGGATAAGCTGGAAGTCTTTATTCAAATAGGGAAAGAACTGCAGTTCAGTGGTAGAGCAGATGCTTTGCAAACAGAAGGTCCCAGGATCAGTCCCTGGATCTCCAGGTGTTTCTGGGAAAGACTTCTGTCTGATACCCTGGGGAGCAGCTTCCAGCATAGACAATAGTGAGTTAGATGTGCCAGTGGTCTGATTCAGTGTATAGCTTGCTATCTTCCTAAATTACAAAACTGAAATAATCTATCTCTGAGATGTTTCAAAATAAATGTATCATAGTTAAAGGTGCACCAAGATTTTGACACACCCTGAAGGATCAAAAACTTTCCTCCTGAAATACATAACTGTTCAAAATTTGTTTTAGCACAGAGCTGCTTTGCAGATGGCTGTTTTTCAGAGATTATTGAATCTGTTGCTTTTACTCCTATTACTCCTCCTGCCACCAGCCAAAAGCATTCAGATGTTGTATATATTCAACTGCAAGGGAATAAGGGATTTAAATCACCCAATCTCCCTTCACTGTCATAAAAAAAGCCCGAAATGGTGAGGGCAAGATATAGATAGAAAGATAGATAGACATTATTTTAAGAGCCCACCCTGCCTTCCCCTGGCAGCATTTCTATATAGTTCAGTGAGATCAGGATCAATCCCCAAATGAAGTGAGTAATTGCAACAGCATAATGAAGTTACTGCTGCATATCTGAACATTGTAGTGAGCCTCCATTAGATCAAGTCTGCAGGGAGCTACTGACTAACTGGCTGGGTTTCATTTAGCAGTTTCTAATCAGAGTTAATGCACTGCCATACTTTCTTTAAACATTTAAAAGGTGATCTCTCTCATTTAGCAAGCTAGTTAAACATATTTAGGGCTTAAAATGCCTCTCTCTTGCACACACAGGCTTAATAGAGCAACAGGATTTCCCCAGAAGTGGGACAACGGATGTTGCCTGTGCAACATGAGTAATCTTTAGAACCACCTGTTGACTCTTTCAATATGCTGCATAGCCTTGTGTGGGCAGGTATTTGTAAACACCAGCTTTCCTCATTCCCAAATCAAATTATCACTTAGGAAAAGAAAATGTTCTCACTGCACATCCAATTAAAAAAGAAGAAGGAAAGGTACAGTGGCTTTTTTTTCCTGCTGAAGATCATCTTCCTTGTGTGCTGAGTTGTTTTGGGTTTTTGTTTTTTAACAGATAAGTAACCATGGGAATTGAACATCAACTTTAGCAGTTGCCATGAGCAGCAATAATCCTGTGGTTAGGGAGAAATAAAGAGTCACCTGTGTTCTCCCAGGTTCTCATCTCTCATCAGAAATAGGCAGGTGCACAGAAGTTTAAATGTAAACTGATGCAGTCTTCCCTTCTTTTACCAACAGCACACGTGGATTCGATAGCACAGGAGCTCAGGTAAGATTCACGAAGCTTCAGCTTTGTCACAAGAAGTGCTGTTATATCCCACATTTATTGCATCTCTTACAAACACAGCCAGGACAGATGGTGTGTTCACAGTAATTCAAGTTGTTGTTGTTTTTAAGTGCCTCTAGGCTTTCTAAGGTTCACCAGAAAAATATTGTAACCTATCAAGAGGTTCTTGTATGAGGAAAACTTCACAGAGGTCCAGGTTGGTCAATCTGTGGCCTTCCAGATTGCCAAAGCTGGGCAAGCGCTTACAAGACTTTGAGAAGGAGGCAGGCAGGCTCTCCCTTGACCCCTGTACTCTGTGTGTGGAAATTGGTTGTGCTGCCCTAAATCTGCCTCTGCTTTAGGTAGCACTGGCTGGGGGAGAGAAGGAATTTATTTAACCTTCAAGTTCTAGCCCAGATAGTTTCAGTGTATGTCTTGAGCTGGGTTTGAAGTTGACCTCTCATGTTTTCTTGACCTGTCCTCTGTTATTGTAAGTAGGCAGTTTTGTAAGTAGGCAGCTGAGCATTAAACTGTACACACACTCCAGTTCTGTTAACTAGATGGGCTGGACTACTCCTCTTCTGGTGGCTGCCACGTTAAATTCTTTCTGATTATTGTTATTTTATTATTAAAGATGCCCAGCAGAAGTTAGTGGGGAGAAATATCTCCAGTGGGGGGAGTAGGAGGGGAAGGAGTAGTGCCACAGACCTGGCCTACTTACAGCAGCATTACCACCGTAAACCAGGATAATGTGGAGAAAGGTCAGGGTGGTGGGAGCACCAGATTGGCTTTTCCAGTACCACCCTACCCCAACCCACTGCTGCAAATCAAAGTACGCAGCAAGCCTGTTCTACCAAGGAGACTCCCTCTGTGATCAGAGCCCCCAATGAGTGGACAGTGGTGGGACCAAGTAACAGGAATGTGTTGGAAGGCAGTGGAACTAGCATGAGTGTCCAGGTTCTCCCCTCATGAAATAGGAGAGGAATGAATGCCTATGCAGGGCGTGAAAAGTGTGAAGATCTCACCAGGATTTCATCATTTCAGAGTGTATTGGCTAAACCTTGCAGAGGTTTCTTATCAATAACTAAGTTGTTTCAAATGTTTGCTTATACTATTTGTGGTAAGGATATTCGTATTTTGTGTAGAGCCACCTTTCTACAAGGGTATTATGATAATGATGAACATATTCATGGCAAGTGAGTAATGACAGGATTGAAGCCTATGAAGGCCCACAACGCTGATCCCATGGTGAAGAGCAGCAGCTGCCTATCACCCTTTCTACAATCAACTAAATAGAAGGAGTGAGGCAGCAGGCCAACAGCACTATCAGTCATGACGAAGGATGCCAATAGTCTTGCAGCAGTAGAATGAACATCTGGCCATACTCCATAGACTTTAGGGCATAGATCACCCTTCGGGGGAATATTTTATCTGAGACAACTGGTGCCTGGGTTCATAGCACAGGGGATTAAATATGTGCTGGTATCATTCTTCATTAATCTGCATTATATCATATTAATATGCGAGGGACCATTATGGTTATGAGACAAGGCCAGCTTGCCCATTCAGTGGAATCGAGTGATATATATTTTTCCGAACTCTACCACTTCAGATTGCAGGTAGTTGGGGGGGATTAAATGATTCAAAATTCCCTATGGGGGGTGGGAATGTTCTGTACATACAAAATTAGCATGTTAGGTAGAAACAAAAACTGAACTCCTTCCCCTCAGGTGGTGGTTTTAGGAAATGGGTGCATGATTTTATTATTTATTTCTTTACCACTTGATTGTAATAAAACCTCTAAGCAGTTTACAAGAAATATTTAAATTATCAATAACAATTAAAAACATTTTAAAATTATTGAAATCAACAGTAAAAATATTCAGACACATCAACATCTACATACCTCGATAGGCTTGCCTAAAGGAAAATGGTTTAAGCAGGCACTGGCAAGAGCTGAGCCAAGATACTTGCCTAATTTTGGAGGTTTCACCACTGGATCATGTTGCTGTGGTTCAGAGAAAGACAAGTGCTTATTTTGAATGCCACCTATTTGGGCCAAGCAACTGGTGACATGAAATACCAAACCCCATTCGCCACCTGAGAAGTGGGAGGTGGAGATGAGTGGATCTGTCAATTTTTATTTCTCTCTATTATTTTTATAATCTTAATCTCAGTTCTCTACATTTCCACATCAGTTTACTTTTTTTAAAAAGTCCTCATACAAATTCACGAGTGTTGTTTACTATGAATTTCTCCTAAATATATTTTTGTCTAATATACACATTTTTGTAAAGCAATTTCCCTATTCTAATGCGTTTTTTGGTATCAGTGCAATTTTATGGACACTTTACCCCAGTATATGAATTTTTGTACACATTGTTTGACTGTGGAACAGCATTGCATAGTTCACAGAACTGCAAATTTCAAGGATGGCTGTGTTTATGTATTCTTTGGAAAATGCTAATTTGGTAGGTTCGCCTTTAAATGTCAACTGAATCAAATTTATCCCCCATCTCTAGTGAGAGGTGAATTGGGAGGAGGCAGTTATCACTGCCTTAAAGCATTCCAGCAATGGTGTCAACTGTGTGGGCAGCTGATGTGTTGAATGTGGCTATGAGATCAGACAAGTACCCCAAGTAGCATTGAGTGAACTTTCCTAGCTTGATTTGGAGGTGTCCCCCCCCCAAATAAACCCCAGTTCCATTTCACACTCCTGATAATCAATGGGGAAATGATGGGGTGTCCCTCAGCCTGTATGGTCTCACTGGTGGAATTCAGTCTTCAGCCCTCAAAGCACAAGGAATCTTGAAACATAGTCCGTCCCCCCCCAAGTGAACATTACAAGCTGGACAATGTCACATTCTGAGCTGGGTTATTACAGTTTGGCAAATCCGCTCCACTTCCCAGTGGGGAGGAGTTGTGGTGGACCATGTGGCCACCCACTCCCGTACAGGGATGAGGAACGAAGTCCCGCATCACCCGGAGGTTCCCAGCCACGTCATTCGCCAGCTAGCCAATCTGCTGGCTGGGAGAGGTGCAGCCAGGCCCCATTTAAACTGAGGCGCGAGCCGGAGAGCTTCCTCTTGGCTTGCTTCCTCAATCTCTTCGCACAGTTCCTTGGCTTCACTCTGCGGACTCTTTTCTCAGCTTTCTGCTGCGGCATTGGTTGATCTTATGATGGGGGAGAGGAGGTGTGGCCATCACCTGCCCCTCCAAGCTTAAGGGTATTCCGTTAAAGGAATCCGGGGGTTTGGATCTGGTCCAAAGCCCGGGGCAGGGCTAGGGCCATGCCACGACCCCGTCGGGAACCCAGGGGGAGCTTGAGTCAGTTTGCATCAACAGGGCTCCTCCTACAGGTGGTTGACCCTTACTGGACTCCCTGCGTGACAGGCAGGAGTCAGATATAGTCTGGTCAATTCCAATGCCTAAGCCAATATTGCTCACATTCTGTAGCCACTAAAGTTGTACCCTAAATTCGCCCAATAACATTAACCTAATATCCGTGTCCTTGTGTCTTATTCATCAACGAGGGGGTGGTCTCGGGGTCTCGACCTGCAACACAATGGCTTTTCACATTTTTGGAGTTGTCACAGGGAGCATTTTAAAGCAGTAAACAGTGTGGTAAATTACATACTTTGGTATTTTACCCTGAAGTTATGTCAGTACAGAGCACTGGTATTTATAATGAGGCTACTCTACATTGCATGTCATTCATGATGTTAATAAAGGATTTATGCCAAAATTCACCTGTCCTTATTACTATATCCTGTATGTCAACCATTCATATCATCATTAATTAAACCAGTTATAAATTTAAACCATTACTGTAATAAACTTTATAGGCCTGCAGTCTTTTGGGATCCTCCCTTGTTTCTTTCTTGTCCATCTTTTAAATCTTTCCTTAATTAGCTATATCTAAAAGCCAGGGATACAGTTTTGATAACATCCAGTAATTCTAATAGCCTTATCTAGTAAAGTGACAATTTGATGACACCTTTTTCTGTTACTGCTAGTAGATAGGAGTTCTGATCTGCAGGATTTTCTGACATGCAGGTTAAGGCACACATGACGTGGTAGCCACTTGCCTGCACTGATGGTGTACCACTGCCTTGAGCAAATATGATTGTGTAAGAGGTGGTGGGATCCTCTGAGCACATTGGGTGTTAGTTTGTACATGGGATGTTGGCTGGGTCATGATTAAACTCCAAGTGGGGAAGTTCTATGTTCAGTATCACTGAACATAGGTTTACTGCAATGGTAGGTCACCATCCATTCCAACTATGGTTGCCATCCATTCATAAATAAATGACCAGAGTTCCACCTTCTGGATTCTTTCCAGAGATTCAGAGGTCTGTACCTCTGAGGCCTCACCTCAGAGTTTTTAATTTAAAAATATGGTCATGATTTGTTAAGGCTTTGCACATGCCCACACATATATAGTACCTAGACCAACCAAGTAAGTGGGAAGTCTGGATAAATGCAGTCTTAGTTCAGTGCAAATAGAGAGTGAAACAGAATTTATGAAACGGGTAAATCATCTTATTTGTTTATGTATGCAGGCATTGAAGACCAAAGCCAGGCTGTACGCATGCAATGCAGGCCGAGTCCTTCAGGCCCACGGAGCTTTGGAGCTTCATCTGCATAACAAAAGACAGAGAGGATTCTAAAACCCTCCAATAACACTGTTAGTAGCTGGCAGGCAGCCAATCCATGCTGAGATAGGACCAGTGTTGTGATTCGCTAATTGCAGTATTAAGGCGACCTATCACAGGCGGTGTGTGTGTTTTGCCTGGGCTGGCTTAAGGTATATATATCCCAGGCAAGTGCCCCTGTTTGTCCTCCTCCTTCTTGTTGTTCCAATAAATCCTTTTTGAGCTGAATCCTGGTCTTGGGTCATGCCTGAACTCACCTACACTTCATTTTTTAGCTAACTTGCATTGCAAAACAAAGGAATCAATAATTTTGAAGTTAACTTTGATGCAGCCAAGACAACAGTGTGCAATTTAATGTACAGTGCTGCCTTTGGGTTTTTTTTGTTGTAATAAAATAAGCAGCACCTCATTAGTACAGAATTATCACCAGATTGTAAAAATAGGTTCCAGACATTTTATTTAAAAATTTAATGAATGTTCTTGAGCTATTTTCATAGTAAAATGCCAAACACCCCAAAACCTGGAACAATAAACTAGTAAATACCATTGCCTTGTCCAAAATAATCTCATTGCCCCCCACACCCAAGAAATTACTAGCCCTGGGCCTTCAAGAAGGATAAATGCTCAAATCTCAATAGTCCTCGTGGTATATTATAACTTTTCAGTTGACTTTTTTAAAAAAATGGCAGGCTTGTTTTAAAAAACAGTGACGCAGTTCCTATAGCACCTTGTTTTCAGTGCAGTCTTTAGAATGTTGTGGTAGACGTGCCCTATTGAATTCAATGAAACTTACTCTCAGGTAAGTGGGGTTAGGATTGCAGCCAAAGGCTTTCTTAGCAAACAGTGTGCATTTGTTGTTTGTCCAAAGAGGTTTCATCCCCCCACCATGTTTCACAATGAACTCAACGCACGCATAGATTTCATTATAGCTGCATGCCTTCTCCTGGGTTATTACCAACTTCCTATCATTCTGGCCTTTTTACTTGCTTCTTTTTATTTCCTCAGTCATTTCACAGTCGAATCGTTCCTTTTGGTCAGGTGGCCTATAACATTAGTTTACTGTCTGAAACATCTCCAGCCTCAAAGCATAATGACTCAACAGCATTACGCATTCCTCCCCAGTCTCCTCTTAGAAGGACTAATAAATTCTCTTTTCCCAACAAGGCTATACCACCTCCCCTGCTTTCTATGTTATTTATTTTATTTTATTTTATTTTAAAAGAAGCTGCCCCTTTGATATTGAAATTCCAGCCTGATTCCAATTACATCATAACATATTTTCTTCTAAGTTATTGTATATACCCCTCGTCCTAGCACCATCTCACTTTCTTCTTCGCCAAGCCTTTCATTTGTATGTTTGCACACTTTAATAACCTTCATGCTGCTATTTTGCCCTAAAATTAGTCTTAATCAATCCTGATTTCCCTCTTTTATCTTCATTGCCATCCAACGCTTTATATGTACTCCTTTCATCTCTGTTTGGTCAGCGTGCTTGCCCTGACGTCATACAAGAGTAGATTAAGCTAAACTCCTCCTCAGGACTTCAGTTGGGATGGAGAGAGCATTATTCTTGCTGAGTAGTAGCCTTTCTTCCATCTTGACTACCCCTCCTCCAAATCATGTTGTATAGCCCTATTGTACCATAACTGGCCAAACCACTACCTCTATTGCAGGTGTGTGTGTGGGGGGGTGGTACTCAGTGGACAACATAAGCTAAAGTAATAGGTGCAAGCCTTGAAGAGGAATTAGTTCTATGTTGCTGGGGATAGTAAATGGATGAATATCAATATTAAAAGATAAAACATAAATACTAGCATTAAACATAGTATTATTATTAGTAGTAGTAGTACCCTGAGGCTGATTAGTTGACTGACCTAGCAAGAATGATGAGGGACTGATAAAGAGCTCTGGAGGCTTTCAGGCCTGAGATTTCCAAGTCCTAAACCATTGGGTAAGTAGCCAATCAATACATATTAGTGCTTGCAGATGCGTAACATTATAAATTTGGTGCTGGTCTTTTCTTTGACAACATCCCAAGAATTGTTTGTCAACCCAACTCATGGTATACTCCTCAGACTACCATTCTGATAACTTTGTCTGCATAACTTTATATGCATTCAGTGTATTAGGCTCAAGAGCAATGGGTAGTGGGGATGGCACCACAGATTTGACCACCTGGCATCAGTATCACTGCCACATACTTGGCTGGTGATGGAGCAGGGCAGCACTGAGGAAGGACATCTTGGACACACCAGCAAAGAGAATCTGGTGCTTCTGCCTGAATTGGCCTGACTTCACCTTGTACCTCCGCACTAGTTGCTCGTGAATAGCCTACATGGTTTGATGACATATTAAAGCTCCCTGTATCTAATTTAGCCTATATCTACACCCACTCTTAGCTTAAGTACTTTTATATCCGAGCAAATTCTATTCAGGTCAAACTCTATTCACTGGTGACTCAAAAGGATTTCAGTGTAATTATCTCTCACCTAAAAAATTAGGCTGGCACTAGAGAAAGACGTGTCCCACTCCATTGTGAGGATTCATGTGTTGGTACAACCAGTGCTTTATTTAAGATGATAAAAATATGAGGTGCCAGTACTCGTATATTGAGAAAAGTGCAGCAAAGAAGAAGTGCTGGTACTCTGTACCAGGGAGTACTTTCACACAAAAAAGCTATGGGTGCCAAACATCTTGGCATCTTCAAGTCACTGGTTTTAGTTTTTAACCTCCTTGGGGTTCATTTCATTGCCTAGCAAAAATGTCTCCTGTGTCCAAAAAGTTGACTTGTACCACTATTTCATTAGAAGTCTGCTCATATCAGAAATTGTGGGAATGAGTTATATTCACTCTTGATTCATAAAAAAATATCCATCCATTTTATGACTCTGATTCACCAATAACCTTGACAGCTGAACCAGTGTTCCATGACAACAAGCAGACCATTGATAAATAGCAACAAAACTATTAGAGGTTGAATTTATGAGATGAGTAATAGGGATGCTAAATTATAGGCTTACTGTTTGACAAACTACAGCTTGACATATATTTGCAAATGCATGTGTATGCATCTCAAAGAGAGAAAAACTTTTCTAACCTCATGACCCCTTGGCACATTGTACAGAAACCATCCAACTGCTTTCCATGGGATTGTGTTTTACAGTTCATCCCCCCCTCCTCCCAGTTCATAATTTCAGGACTAAAGAATTTTCTAAGAATAGTTAAAACGAGGCTTTGGTTTATATTTGTTTTTGAAATAATGACCAAAACGTATCATAAGGGGGGGGGGGGAGAGATTGTAACCAGTATCAGCATTTTGAACTTAGCCAGTGCAATTCTTTCAGCAACAGCATAGCATGATGGTGATATCCTGCCCCAGTGAGCAGTAGAGCTGCTGCATTTTGCACTAGCTGCAAGGTCAAGGGCAGTCTCAGGACAGCTCCATATAAAGCACATTGCAATAATTCAGTCTGGTGGTTAGCAGTGCATGGACAACTATTTCAGTGGTCAGGATATCCCAGTCCAGAAATGGCCAAATTTGTTTTACCAGCCAAAGCTAGTAAAAGCTTCTCCTAACCACTGAGGTCACCTGGGCCTCTAGTGACAGAGATTAATCTAGGAACACCCCCAGACTGTGAACCTGCTCTTTCAGTGGGAGTATGACCTTTTCCAAAGCCGGCAATTGCCCAATTATCTAGATTCTGCAACCACTCACCTATGGCACCTCTGTCTTGCCAAGATTAAGACTCAGTTTGTTGGCCCTCATCCAGCCTACCACTGAGTCCAGGCTCTAGTCCAGGCCTTGAACAGCCTCTCCTGATTTAGATGTTACAAAGAAATGGAGCTGGGTAGTATCAGCATACTGATACCTTGCCCCAAACCTCCTAATGATCACTCTCAATAGCTTCATATAGAGTTAAATAGCATTGGGAATAAGATGGTACCCTATTGTATCCCTTTTTCCTCCACCAAAGTTGGTGGAGTTTGGGGGGAAATGACACATCACGCTCATGAACTGGGGGTTAGCCACTCCTAGTGTAAATAATTAGTATGTATAATTAGAATCAGCTATAGATCAGATAATTTGTATTGCCTTTGAACAATGAGCCTGACAAAAAATAAATTTTGGTCCATTTCAAATGTATATTCTACAATTTTCAGATACAAAATAAAACTTATATTACTTCCCCTTTCTCTCAAGCATTATATTGCTGTGAGTGTTTACTTGATCAGCTGTAGAAAGCATGTTGTAGAGCTGCAAAGGTACAGAAGGGGGTGACTAAAATGATGAGACTGAACAATATATTTTTTTCCTTTAAAAAAATATGCTCACAAATGGAAGGAAATTGAGTCATTTTGTTTTGCACACATCCTGCCCACATGCTATCTGGGGTAGAGTAAAATGATGCCTACTGTGATGTAGGAATAGAAGAACCCTATCTGAATGGGAATATAAGACCAGTTCAGAGACTCCAATGTGTTTGTAGAGGGTCTTGAGGTCTGCCCAGTTCAAGCTTTGCTGAAGTTGGCCTAACATCAAAGTCCATGAGCAGCTCCTGATGTGCACAAAGTAGAACCTCACAAGAATTTTGATTTGGATAAGAACTTGGGGAATCAGCCAAGCTGCAGGTCCTGAGCCAAATTGGATGTATTCAGAGGACCTTGGGCCTTGGACAAGCTGGGTGCAGACAGACACAGACCACTGTGAGTCATGTTGGAGGAGCCCAGGGCCCCCTGGGTGTCAGGGGGCAGGGCATCAGGCAGGAAGGAGAGCTTTAAAACCTTAAAACTCTTTATAACTTTAAAACTCTTAATAAATATCATTTTTTTAAAAAAAGGAGAGCCAGGCAGGGTGGAAAACTGCAGGAAAAGCTCCAAGACATACCTGACTTGCAGCTGCATCTTCCCAGGAGAAGGCGGGCTACAGCTCTCTTTCCTGCCTGAAACCTGTTGAGTAGAGACACCCCTATAGGGTGTGGGTGCTGCTTTTCAAGAGGCTGTCCTGCAGGAAGGATCCAGGCCTGCACAGTGCTGGTTCATTCCCAGACTCTTAAAAAACCCTATTTTAACTTTCCGGTTAATATAGGGTTTAAAAATCCCCACCCCTAAATTGTTTTGTGGAAGGATCTGGGGTGGAATGGGTGGCACTGGGTCAATCTCCCTGATGCCACAGGATGCCACAGGATAGATTGAAGTGGGGCTCTTTGCTGAAGAAATATGAGGCCATGAGATTAGTTGAACTTTCAAGACTTTGAATATTTCTACCTCTTTAAGGTAAAAAAGTAAAGGTAAAGGATCCCTGGATGGTTAAGTCCAGTCAAAGGCATCTATAGGGTGTGACGCTCATCTCACTTCAGGCCGAGGGAGCCGGCGTCTGTCCACAGACAGCTTTCCGGGTCATGTGGCCAGCATGACTAAACTGCTACTGGCACAGAGGACTGTGATGAGCGCCAGAGTGCACAGAAATGTCGTTTGCCTTCCCACCACAGCACTCCCTATTTATCTACTTGCGCTGGTATGCTTTTGAACTGCTAGGTTGGCAGGAGCTGGGACAGAGCAACAGAAGGTCACCTGTCATGGGGATTCTAACTGCCAACCTTCTGATCAGCAAGCCCAAGAGGCTCAGTGGTTTAGACCACAGTGCCACCCGCGTCCCTGACACCTCTTTAAACATTCCATTAATTATGTTACAAATATTTTTCATGTATCCACACCGCAAATAGCCGTAATCATAGAATCATAGAGTTGGAAGAGACCACAAGGGCCATTGAGTCCAACCCACTGCCAAGCAGGAAACACCATCAGAGCACTCCTGACATATGGTTGTCAAGCCTCTGCTTAAAGACCTCCAAAGAAGGAGACTCCACCACACTCCTTGGCAGCAAATTCCACTGTCGAACAGCTCTTACTGTCAGGAAGTTCTTCCTAATGTTTAGGCGGAATCTTCTTTCTTGTAGTTTGGATCCATTGCTCCATGTCCGCTTCTCTGGAGCAGCAGAAAACAACCTTTCTCCCTCCTCTATATGACATCCTTTTATATATTTGAACATGGCTATCATATCACCCCTTAACCTCCTCTTCTCCAGGCTAAACATGCCCAGCTCCCTTAGCCGTTCCTCATAAGGCATCGTTTCCAGGCCTTTGACCATTTTGGTTGCCCTCCTCTGGACACGTTCCAGTTTGTCAGTGTCCTTCTTGAACTGTGGTGCCCAGAACTGGACACAGTACTCCAGGTGAGGTCTGACCAGAGCAGAATACAGTGGCACTATTACTTCCCTTGATCTAGATGCTATACTCCTATTGATGCAGCCCAGAATTGCATTGGCTTTTTTAGCTGCCGTGTCACACTGTTGGCTCATGTCAAGTTTGTGGTCAACCAAGACTCCTAGATCCTTTTCACATGTACTGCTCTCAAGCCAGGTGTCCCCCATCTTGTATTTGTGCCTCTCATTTTTTTGCCCAAGTGCAATACTGTACATTTCTCCCTGTTAAAATTCATCTTGTTTGTTTTGGCCCAGTTCTCTAATCTGTCAAGGTCGTTTTGAAGTGTGATCCTGTCCTCTGGGGTGTTAGCCACCCTCCCAGTTTGGTGTCATCTGCAAATTTGATCAGGATGCCCTTGAGTCCATCATCCAAGTCGTTGATAAAGATGTTGAATAAGACCGGGCCCAAGACAGAACCCTGTGGCACCCCACTAGTCACTCTTCTCCAGGATGAAGAGGAACCATTGATGAGCACCCTTTGGGTTCGGTCAGTCAGCCAGTTACAAATCCACTGAGTGGTAGCATAGTCAAGACCACATTTTACCAGCTTCTTTACAAGAATATCATGGGGCACCTTGTCAAATGCCTTGCTGAAATCAAGGTAGGCTACATCCACTGCGTTCCCTTCATCTACCAGGCTTGTAATTCTGTCAAAAAACGAGATCAGGTTAGTCTGACATGACCTATTTTTCAGAAATCCATGCTGACTATTGGTGATCACAGCATTCCTTTCTAGGTGCTCACAGACTGTAATCCACTGCCTTGTTTCAACTTGCTAACCTAACTGGCAAAGCAAAGCAACTAACAAATTTAATTAAGTTTAGAGTGAAATGGTGTGCATAAGGAATACATAGAAAAAAATATTGGTGTGTGACTTTAATTATTTTGGTAGCAGCTAATTATTATTCACATGCATTCTGCATACTCCTGTAATATGTACACCAGATAGCATTACCATATTGTTATGATTACCACATTGTGGCATTTCAGCATCTACTTTGTTACAACAGATAAATATGCTGCATAAACCTAAGCCATTTTAAATTGAGGGATTGTAAAGTATCCGTTATATTGGTTTCGTGCTTTGTGCAGCATTGTGGCAGATCAAGCGAGTTCACAATTTAAGATGCACGTTGGTTGTACTGTAACTTCTTCAGTAGTGCAGATCTTCACATTTGTTTCCATGTTCTTCATATTTGCAATGGTGAGTTGCCAAGAAGATGCCTTGCCAAAATGGTTTTTTTTAAAAAAAGAAGCAAAAAGCTTAAGTTAGTCATATGCTACCATCCAAAACAATCACAATTGGAGCCAATTTAGTGCACATAAGTTACCTTGGAAGGATTAATTTCTGCTGTTGAGCCTCATAATATGTGTAACCAACAGGGAGCTGTCTGGAGACAGGGATTTTTGCAAATCTTTCAGCTAGATCAATGAGCCAAATGCAAAATCTGGTAACCAGGGGCATCATGTAGATTTGTCATGCTCCCTAGGGGAGCTGGGGTCCAGCAACCAATGAGTGGATTACACTGATCCACAAATGCAGTTTTTCATCTGTGACAGATATAATATAAATGCTATTATTCATATTGCATAACTGGGAGAGAACCACCGACAATGACTATTGTTTATGCAAAAATTAAAAAGAGAGAATGTAGAATTTTGCAACAGGTGACAACAGACTTTTCAGAAAACAGAGTTCATTACATAGTCACATCCAAGCAATGCTTGTCACTGGGAGATTTTGTTAACACCCATTTGACCGAGATGCATAATCTTGTGGAAAGTGAGATACAGTACAGCTGTACATTGCCAGCAATACGTTTGGTTCCAGCGAACACAGTCTATGCCTATCTGTTAGGTATACAGACAAGGAATGAAAGGAGACTCAGTCCTGTGAGTATGCCACCAGTAGAGACTGGATCTATCCAATCTCTGCATCAACCCCTTGATACAGTCAATCTAAGGTGGAGTGCCATGACTTGTATCAACATCGTGTTAAGCAGATTTCGCCTTGAGCAGCAGAATGGCCTCTCCCTTTCTTTTGCCTGTATGCCCCTACATCTATTCTGGGGGTTCTTTCAGTCCTCTGGAACAGAAATGGGGACCCAAAATTTATCAAAAAACATTTCCCCCCCAGAAAACTCCCCTGAGATCTTCATCTCCTCACCTTACTCTTTTTTTTTGGGGGGGGGGGGGAGACCACTATGAATAATTTTATTTATTGACCACCTATTTTGTGGTGGCTACTATTTTCCCCTACACTCTGTTGACAATGCTCCCTAACTCCTCTAGGTACTTTGCACTGTAGTTAATGCAAAATGGTGGCCATGATTCCAACACAGTTGATTCTGCTGTTTCAGGGCGAAACCCTTTTACAGGGAAAGAAGGGAACAGACAAAGTTGACACATGTAACTGGTAGTACAATTTTTACATCAGCTCTTTTTATTTCAGGGAATTAGCAAACTGCTATACACCTTTTCTTATCCCCTGGGTGGATATAGTCTAGTCCAGAACAGAGTAGATTAGCATATATTTAGATTAGCATATATTTACTCAAGATTAAGGTTGATTCAGGCTTTAAAAATATATGTATCCAGATTTTTGGTAGCAATTGAAATGAAATGGTGTGGAGGGGTTCATCTGTGTTTTGCGCTCTTTAGCTCCAACAGCTAAAACCAAATAAAGACAAAAGATCCAGCTGTTTAGAACTGCTATTATACTAGTCCACATAATTTTTTTTTTCCCATGAAAACAAAACAAAAGAGTTGTGCAATGTATTTTCAATCATTTCTTCCTCTCTTGATGTTCTCCTCTCATTAACTGTAGTGCCTACAAAAGCTCCATGGCAAAGAAGAGAAAAGCTGAAGAGCAGATTTTGGGTGTTCCAGTCAACAAAAGGAAGTCTTTGTTAATGAAACCCCGTCACTACAGTCCAAGTGTAGAAGGCAAAGGGGAAAATGAGGACAAGACTGACCTGCAAGACAACAGCAATGATCTCAAAGCAGGTATCAAAGATTAGTGGCTCCAGATGAATGTAAAAAGCATCTAAGTGTTGGTGCTGACCTTCAAAGCCCTAAATGACCTTGACCCTGTATGCCTGAAAGAGCAACTCCACCCCCATCATTCAGCCCAGATGCTGAGGTCCACCTCCAGGGGCTTTCTGGTGGTACCTCAGTGCAAGAAAAAAAAAAGTGGAATTTGCTGCCAAGGAGTGTGGTGGAGTCTCCTTCTTTGGAGGTCTTTAAGCAGAGGCTTGACAACCATATGTCAGGAGTGCTCTGATGGTGTTTCCTGCTTGGCAGGGGGTTGGACTCGATGGCCCTTGTGGTCTCTTCCAACTCTATGATTCTATGATTTTATGATTCTAAGAAGTGAAGCTACAGGGAACCAGGCAGGGGGCCTTCTTAGTAGTGGCATCCACCCTGTGGAGCATCCTCACATCAGATGTCAAGGAGATGAGTAACTATAAAACCTTTAGAAGACATTTGAAGGCAGCCCCTGGATGGGGAAGCTTTTTAATGTTTAATGTATATGTTGTTAGCTGCCCAGAGTAGCTACATTCAGATGGACAGGATATAAATAATGAAATTATTATTATTATTATTATTATTATTATTATTATTATTATTAAGCTAATGCTCCTGAGAGAACAAAGGGTAGAATAATCTCACTGGGCACTAGCAATAAAAGGCAGATCATTTGGACAAAATGTGAATAATGAGACTGAGAAATAAATAGAAATATGGTTTGTAGCCAATTAAGTCCTACTCAGAGTAGACCCACTGAAATTAGTGAAAGTTAGTCATGTCCATGAACTTCAATGGGTCTACTCTGAGTAGGCCTAGCACTGATCTGAACTTGTGACCCTTTAGATGTTGTTGGTCTTTTAACTCCCATCAGTCCCAGCCAGCATAAGCAATGACAACCAAAGGTATCAAGTCAGATTTTAATCCCTTTTTCTTAAAATCTGGGTCAGCATTAGTTTTAAGTGATAATATCCATATCAGTTTCAGGTTGTATTAGCTCTCCGCTGCCTAAAAGGATTATTGATGCTAATGTGCACACTACTGTATGGAAAGAAAGAAATTGGGGGAGGGCACACGCCCAATTTGCTCATGGGCATTACTTTTGCGGAGAGGAAAAAATCATAGCAGAGAGCAGGAGGACAGAAGGGCAAGCTCCACTCTTGAACCTTAATAAACACGGAAGAACAAGCTGGAAAGCTGTGGCAAGAGTAAATTGCATAGGCACCACAGTTGAAATTAATTATACAATACTGTGCTGAAAACACAAATGAAGAAAGGTGAACTTTTGGCACAGCCAATCCACAGAAGGTTTATGAATAAGAATGGAGGAAATCCATCCACACTTACAGTCCACTAGCTTTTTGAAAAACACACGTGCTCAGGAGATCTGCCACTATTATAACCATACCGGGGGGCGGTGGAGAGAAGCAGCTTCTTTCTCTGCATTATTTAATGTTGCTTGTTTCCCAACATTTAACACAAGCAGTTAATATGTGAGTAATATTAATATTTTGTCTAGGCTCGCAATACTTCTATATGTCAAGTCAATCAATCTTGATGACTGGATTCAAGAAAATTCTCTAATATACATGCATATATATATATATATTCAAATCTGCCCCCTAGAAAAGTTACTTTTTGGCCTGTTCATTTGGGGTTGAGATCACCTGATCACGTTGCTCGGAATCATGCTTCTAGTTATTCATCTTAATGTCTAATACAGACAAATGGGACTGTGCCTCCTGGCTGGTGTCACACACCTAGCTCAGTGGTGGAGCTTCATGCTCCAGCACTGGGGGGCGTCCTGGGGGCGTGGCGCACATCCTGGGGGCGTGGCGTGCTGCCTGCAGGGGCATGGTGCCCAGCGCAGCCGGGGGGCAGCCGCGATGGCACCCCACTGGGGTCGCGCTGCCGGGGGTGGTGCGCTCTCCCCGCACTCCTCTTCCTCTGCCAGTGGACATCTATATATTGGGTAAAAATCTCGAGCGGGTACTGACTGTTTTTGTTGCAGAAAAAAACAATCTATTCTGGTGGAACTTCTACAAAATAACAACAGAAATAAAGTTGCCTCCGAGTGGCGCAAGCCATGCACCAACAAAACGAGTGCATGGTAAAACATTTCAAGAAAAGGGCCACATCTTCCGGTCTAGGGCCCAAGAAAACCTCCAAGAAATAACTAATAAATATTTTCCTTTAATGTATAACAAACAGTTGAACCAAACAATTATGTAAACTGGAAATGACCCAAAATGCTAACAGTTTGGCAGCCGTAAAGTGAAATGCATTGTGGTGGCACATGTGCATTTGTGTCTCCTCCTCCTTTCCACAATAATCTGCACTTAATAGGAATATTTTAAACTATGTAGCTAAGCAACAGAGGTAATTGTTGCTTTCTAGAGCTTTTGTTAGGCACTCCACCATAGCCCAAATATGCATAATTAGGTATAATGTCTATAAATCATTATTGTACACATGTGGGTAGTTAAGTGGATTGAGAGAATAGTTCAATGAATTGGACATATTCACTGAAAATGCTTTTTATTTGTTTTCTGTAGTTGATAATACTTTGAAATTATGATAACCCTTTACACTTTCTCTTAATAGCTCACTGTTGTTGAGACAAAACTTCATTTGCATTTTTAGATGATATTTAATTTATGATTTAAACCCAGAGTTGGTCTGACATGTATTCTGCAAAGAACCAGACTGTCTTATCTATTTTATTGTAAGCTTGTTTATCTCAAATTTTCCCCCTCTAGGATGTAAAACGTAGACCATTCCAGTTTATGTTGAATACATCCCAACTAAAGAATGCACCCTATAATCAGCATTATTGAAGGGGCTAGTGTTGTGGCTAAATTCTTCCTTTCATCCAAAAATGCTTTTAGTTACTATGGTAATATTTACTTGATCCTGGCAGACCAGTGTTGATTTTAGGGAGATAATTACCAGAAAGAAAGATGATGGAGATGTATTTTGGAGTGTCCTTGTCAGGGGGGGAAATGTTTAGAAAAAAAACTAAATGAGACACAAAGGATTTATTGTATTTCAGCATTTGACACCCCTTTCCAATAGCCTTTACTACCTTCTGTTTCCTGCTGTGATTTCAAAGAAAAAAATGGTTTCTTAACACAAGATACATGCGTATTTTGCCATCCTTTAGTAAAAATAGAAATCTACTTTTAAAAAAAATCTCCCTTGTGATCTAATATATTCTTTAGTTCTATGACTACCATGACTGCTTCTAACATGTATCCTGTGAGCTATAGAATTACAGTCTTTCATTAAACCAAAAGTGACCCAGAGCATTCATTTTATATATTTAAAAAAATCTATGAAGAAGAGAAGGAATGTTGTTGTTGTTTTGTTGTTGGGTTCTTCCTGTTGTTGTTCCTGTTCCTATTTCTTTACTACCCACCCTTCATAATACTCCAGGGTGGGTTACCACAATTTACAATAAAACACTAAGAGCAGTTTAAAAAGCAAGGGATGCAACTGTAGGTGACACTGTTACATTTATCTGATATTTTTTGAAAGCTTTGTTTCATCACAGCAGCAAGTCAACACCTCCTCAGTGAAGAGCAGATACCTTACCCTAACTTCAGGGCCACTACTGCCATCAATCTATCCTTGCATGTTTACTGTAGTCTGAAGCAGAAGGGAGAGAATGGATGGGAATATGGCGCTGTGAAACTGCTACCCAATATGGAGATTCTTCTTCAGCATAAAGTTATAATAGTACCAAAACCTTTAGCTGGGTTCAGGATAGCTTTATTCTGCCCTCACATGTTTCAAACTACATTAGAATACTGGAGAAATAAGCACTTCAGTCACTGCAGGCACTATGTTCGTCTTCCCCCATAGCTTTTCAGACTATGGTAGAACTAACAGCCCACTTTTTGGAAATATGTCCCCATTGATGTCAATGAAACTAGGAGCAGCTTCCCAAGTACATTTAGTGCAGCAGCAGCATCCAAGGATTTTGTTATATATGATATTCCAAACCATACCCAGGCAACGTGTCTTTTTCTTGTAATGTTTAAATTAACATGCCAGCTTCAAACACGAGAGAGTCATGTAGTAAAGTAGTTGTGTGGTACTTTAGGCACGTTCCAGAGTCACAGCCAAAGTTCTATTTACTGCAAGGTGTTCATGTGTGAAATGGGTACATGCTGAAACGACTGCACAGTTGTTGCATGGATCTGCTCTGTATATTCACAACACAACATTCTGGTCATTTGAATTGGTCAGATATAGTATATATTTAAAGTATGCTCTACTGTAACCTTCCCCAAGTTGGCACCCTCCAGATGTTTTTGAGTATAACTCCCGTTAGGTCCAGCTACCTTAGTTGATGGTTAGGAATGATGGGAATTAAGAACATAGGAGCCTGCTGGATCTGGTCAGTGGCCCATCTAGTCTAACATCCTCTTCTCACGGTAGCCAAATACCTATGTAGTGGTACCTTGGTTCTCAAACTTAATCCGTTCCAGAAGTCCATCCCAAAACCAAAGCGTTCCAAAACCAAGGCATGCTTTCCCATAGAAAGTAATGCAAAATGGATTAATTCATTCCAGACTTTCAAAAACAACCCCTAAAACAGCAAATTGACATGAATTTTACTATCTAACGAGACCATTGATCCTTAAAATGAAAGCAATAATCAATGCACTGTACTATAAAATAAAGAAGACAATATAGTAGATGACAAAAATTTTAAAAAAATCTTATCTGCATTGATAATAGCCATTGTTTGGATTGGGGGCTTTTATCCATTCACACAATCTATCAATCAGTAGCTGAACTGGGTACCACACAGTCACAAAAACAAATTAACTGAAAAAGCAGCAAAAACAAAAACACAAATCAATAGCAAAAACAAAAACAAAAGTGCCAAACTTAATCCATTCCAGAAGTCTGTTTGACTTCCAAAATGTTCAACAACCAAGACACAGCTTCTAATTGGTGCAGGTGCCCTGTAAACAATAGCCAACAGCTGCATCGGACATTTGGCTTCCGAAAAACGTCTTTCTTCCGGGTTTTCAGCATTGGGGAACCAAGACATTTGAGTACCAAGGCATTTGAGAACCAAGGCGTTTGAAAACCAAGGTACCACTATATGAAAAATGCAAGCAGAACCTGAGCACAGTAGCATTCCACCCACATAATTCCCAGTAACTGATATTCAGAGGCATACCGACAATGTAATTATAGTCTGGAGGGAACCAGGTTGGGGAAGTTTGCTGTACTACAGAACATGTTTGCTCAATACAATTCTAGTTCATGTTCATAAAACAGATATTTATCTTGAGCAAACCTATCATTTTAGATTACTTAATATGAATGAGACTAATTTATAAATAAGTGGCTTGTGGATTATGGTCAAAGAAGAAGGAATTTATTTTAATGTTGTGCTTTTCTCTCTTTTCCCTGCCTCTAGAGGAGACTAATATAACACCAGCAAAAGCTACCCCTAATTTGGATGTGCAAGAAAATGATCAAATGACGGACAATTATGCCAGCTACCAGGACCTAATGGCCAAATCTTTAATTAACTTTGAAAAAACAGAGGAAGAAACTCCAGACCCCCCAGAGAATAATAAACTGAGTGACAGTAGCAGCAAGTCCTTAGAAATGGAGAATAACAATGTTGATGAATGTTACATGATTAACTCATTAGTAAGAAAAGACAGAATTTGTGTTTCGGACCCACAGTTCTGCTCCTCTGAGGATAATGAAAGTAGTTCTGAAATTCTGGACAATGAATGGGATAGCTCCTCAAATTTCTCTGAAGAGATATGCGTCAAACTTCCTCTAAATACAACATATATTGTAGGATGTAATCAGCAAGATGTCCTAAAAGTGCCAGGGGTCAAAACCGAAGAAGCAGATTTCAACAACTCTGAAACCATTTGTGACTCAGATACAGGGCCACTAGAATCACAGGAGTCGCATGTTGAATCATTCAGCAACAGGAGTCAAAATCCATTTCCAGACAGCGAGGAAGATGAGTGTCTATCAGAAAATACAGAAATATCATTTGACTTGGATAAAACAAAACATAACTTGAGCTTGCTGGAACGAGCAATAGCTCTGCAGGCAGAGCAGGGCCATGTCTTTCATAGCACCTACAAAGAACTGGACAGGTTCTTACTAGAGCATCTTGCTGGTGAAAGAAGACAAGCCAAAGTGATTGATCTTTGTGGTAGACCAATCTATAACAACAAACGTAAGTTCACTTTCCTTCTTCAGAGTGGATTGTGCATTTGTGTAGACAGCTGGTAATTTCTCCACACCAACAGCGCTCAGCTGGGAGAAGTGACTGCCATGAACCTGGCCTGGCAGTGGTGTCCTATTGAATTCCAGCATAGTATATTGGTAGGGCAGAGCCAATCTGGCACTTCCATTGCTGTTCCCAAACTCCCCTGAGCTTACTGCTACCCTGCTTTGGTAGCTCACCATTTAGTACACTGTGGTGATGTCACTGCCAGGAGACAGCAATTCCCAAGTGAGAAACCACTGGACTATGTGGTTCAGCGAGGAATGTATAAGGTTGTTCAGACTGACAGAACAATATAAAAATTATGGTATGCAGTTACCCCAAAACCCTATGTGTTTGTGCTTCTGCTGTGGTCTGAAAACATTGTGAGAGTTAGCAAGATTTCCATACAATGTTTCATATACACATCCAAGAACTGCAATGTGCTATACATGGCACTGCCTTTGAAGATGGTTTGGAAAGTTCAGCTGCTGCAGAATTCAGCAGCCAGGTTGCTCACTAGGGCAAAATGGTTTGAGCATAGAATACCAATCTTGGCGCAACTGCACTGGTTACCAATTACTTTCCAGGCCCAATTCAAAGTGCTGGCTTTGACCTATAAAGTCTTAAACAACTCAGAGCCACAATAATTCAAGGACCACCTCTCCTCATATGAACTGACTGTGATCATCATCCTCATATGAACTGACTGATCATCATTTGAGGCCCTTCTTTGTGTGCCTCCTCCACAGGAGGTCCAGAGGGTGGCAACAAAGGAACAGAAATTTTCTGTGGTTTCTCCCCATTTGTGGAATGCTCTCCCCGGGGAGGCTTGCCTGGCACCTTCATTACGTATCATTAGGTACCAGGCAAAAACAATCCTAATTAATTAAACAAACTATGGCCTTTTATACTGGGGGGTGGGGTACAGTTTTTGTTTGTTATTATGTTATGTATTATTGTAAACCACCCTGTGATTCTCAAATGAAAGGTGGTGTAGAAATTTGATAAATAAACAAATAGAAACATATTCTACCGTAGATTTGTACTGGGTGCAATGGAATGAATTCAGCTTCTAGTAGGCAGTCACTTGCAGATAATATGAATTTCAAAGTGTTCCTAGTTAGACTTTAATCCTCACCACTATAATAACCTTAGCTTAACAATGATGCCTCAGTGTTTAGAATACCAAACTCTTACGTAAATGGAGGATACTTTAGGAAAAACTACCCAGCGAATGAATGGATGTATTTAATTAAATGCAGTGCAACATATTACAAAATAAATATCTCATATTGTATTATTTCTGTATATTATATTTAGATAGCTTTACATAACTTAACAGGTAATGCAGGTCTATGTATAATAAGGGTAAATAACCCCCTGTTGAGAATAGCAGGTTCCCATGTGGCCACATAGGTCCTGTTGAACATTTCTGATTTCCAATTCTCTTCCTCTCCCCATTCCATAGCCAGTTCTATTATTTCTCTGTTTTTCCGGCAGCCAATGTCTTCTTAGCCTCTGCTGCCATGCTTTCTTGTGCAGTATGAGCCTTGTTAAACCAATGGTGTGATCAGCATCAGGGAGGGTTTATTCTCTGATGCTGAGTTACCCATAGACTCTCCTGGTTTGGCTATGTGCTGCAGTGGCTAGTAATGGAATTGATGACCTGGAAATGGGATGAGCACAGGAAGATCCCACTGTGTCCAGTCTTGAACATTAGGTGAAGCCAAAGCTGCTGGGTTATAGGATGTGAAGGATAAAGATGAGAGCCAGTAACATACAGAAAGACTCTTGAGAGATATATCCCCTTCATTGGACTGAGGTTAGAAAAGTCCCTGAACTGGAAGCCTTGAAAAATAATGATGGGCTTTCTTCAAGAAGGCTGAGCCCTTGATGATGCTTTATCTGATGGTCTTTTTTCCATAAAGTGTTATGAAGGCAAGAGCATGAAGAAAGGTTGAAAATGAGTTACTGGCTGAACTAGGTAGGAAGCAACACATCAGGGAAGCTACAAAGAGAAAAACTTAAGAAACACAGACACAAACTTTCCTTGTGGCTTTGTCTATAAACACATCTATTTGCAAGCTACTTGCAAATATCACAGTTGCCCTGATTGCAAATGGATACACTGCGCTTAAGTTTGTTATAGTTTGTTTTTGTTATGTGGATTAGATATATAAGGAAATAGCTATACAACATATAAGGAGAAAATACAACTACTCATCAACATAGACAATATGTGACAACCTTAGCTCACATTTTTTCAGCTGTCCGAATTTACCAGGAACAGTTTGTTTTCTGATACCTGCCCCTGGAAAATCTTTTAATATTCAAGGCTCTCTAAAGATTTTATTATTATTTATTTATTCATGGATGGTTCCAATTTTCTTTCTCATGACTCAAATATATTCGCCATTCCAAAACCTTCAGTTTAAACAATTTGCTTAAAATAATTGATTTAAGAATGTTAAAATGTGTGTAGGATTTCAGTGTACTTAACACCTTGACAGAGAACTGCTGCGTCTTAAAACCATTCTCTCCCTCTACATATGTATTCATGCACGCACACACAGCAATGTTCCATCTAGGTGACAAGACTTCATTGCTATTTTCTGCAGATTTGCCTAGGCCTGAAAAGAGAGAGACCAAATGTCCCATTCCAGGATGTGATGGCACAGGGCATGTGACGGGATTGTATCCACACCACCGCAGTCTTTCAGGTTGTCCACATAAAGTTAGAGTGCCACTTGAAAGTAAGTACAATTTCTTTATAATTTGCAGCCAAAAACTGTGTGTGATTCCTTGAGGACTGTGGTCATTTCTGCACTCTTGATCTCTTTCCATCCACTTGCCTCTCAGTAGCATCGCTGTAGTGTTTTGTGAATTTATACAGCTACTTGGCTGAGAGTGAAGCCACAATGGCTTCTTACATGGCATTCATTCATTCATTCATACCAGGGGTTTCCAACATGGTGGTATAACTCTTACTTGTGCGCGCGCGCTCTCTCTCTCTCTCTCTCTCTCTCACACACACACACACACACACATATATACACACACACATTTACTGCAGGGGTGTGGAACTTTTGGCCCTTCAGATGTTGCTGAACTACAATTCCCATCAGCCTCAGTTAGCATCAACTGTGATCAGTCATGATGGGAGCTGTAATCGGCAACATCTGGAGGGCCAAATGTTCCTGACCCTCCATTTACAGAACCTAGATCTGTCACTGTTGGAGAATGTGTTCTCTCACCAGCATCAAGCAATACTGTTCACAACAAACATTTTCCATCTAAGGTTATTCCAGTGGCACTATTACCCTCCCCCTTTTTAAAAGAAAGATAAACTGCACATGCATTTGTGCAGTCTGCTTGCATTGAAATCCGTGGAACTTACTATCAAGAAACAGTGACTTGGAGATCAGCTGGGAAAAACCTTGGTGCTTTAATGAGCTGAGTTATGTGCCCCAGCCATAAAGCCTGGCTCCTCAGGGTGCCCTTGCGCCTACCTTCCCAAACAGTAGTCATTTGTGGCAGTACTTCATCTCAGGAGCAGCAGGCACAATGAAGTGAACAAAGCAGTTTACAACACACTGCACTGCTAGGGCTGACAGCAGTTTACTTCTGAAATGACTTTTGGAGTAAAATATTGCTGCTTGAGAGGGTTGTGAGAAGGTGCACCCAGTGCTTTTTTTTCTGGGGGTACGCAGGGGTACCCATGCCCCTAAACATTTTGTGAATCTTTGTACTTTTGTCCATTTACTGTATTTATTTTTCCTGATTTGAACTATAAAATGGTGGTTTTCTTGAGTCAAAATGAGAATACCCCTAAACATTTTTTTAGGGAAAAAAAGGCCTGGGTGCACCTATATTTTATCCTGGGACATGAGTTGTTCTCACCAGCCTCTGATGTGCTTACATGATGGGAGGCAGTGGCAGAGCTTCATGCTCTGGCACCAGGGGGCAGAGAGCAGGCGGGGGCGGGGCTGGCACGCATCCTGGGGGTGTGGCACGCATCCTGGGGGTGTGGCACGCTGCCTGCAGAGGCATGGCGCCAAGCGTTGGCGGGGGGGCAGCCACGATGGCACCCCACCGCACTCCTCTTCCTCCGCCAGTGGTGGGAGGTTGAGACCAAGGTTAAAGTAGGTTGAAGGACCCAACAAGCTTGGCAGGATCAGAGACGCCTGCCATCTCCCCTTCCTCCAGAGATGTATGACCATGTAGAAAATAGCAGGGTTGCTATCCCTGATGTATGGAGTTCACAGTTCCATGAAGGCCCATGATGGCTCAAACATTTGGAACTTCTTGTTCATGTAGAAAATTCTTAGTTTTCTTTTATGACTATAACCATGTGATCATAACTTCTGTACAGTGTCTCCAAGTTTTGAGTGAGGAATTGCACTGTCATGATGATATGTGTTTGGGTCACTATTTTCTTCTCTTTTTTTAGTCCTTGCAATGCATGAAAATGTTCTAAAGTGCCCCACTCCTGGGTGTACAGGAAGAGGACATGTCAACAGCAACCGCAACACTCACAGAAGGTAAATCCTAGTCTGTTACCACTGGTGATAAACTAGGCCAGGAATGCAGAAACAGTCGACTCCAGATGTTGTTGAAATCCACTTCCCTCTACCCACAACTGGCATGCCAATGCTCAATGTTGATGGGAACTACAACCCAACAACATCTGCAGGGCTACTGTTGCCCCATCCCTGAACTAGCCTGTTCAAGAAGGGAACATTTTAATTAATATTTGTCACTCACGTTATATCAAAATGGCAGCATAGGTACTTGGCTTCTGCAATCCTACCCCCATAAAACCATCCCTTATACCCTACAAGTGGTATCTGTATGGTGTGTACAATTTTAAGACACAATCCAGCCAAAATGAAGCACTTCTAGATTCAGTGTTTTCAGTGGTAGAGAGTTGAGCACATATTTAATGGTCCCAGTGGCATATTTGAGAGTTAAAAGTGCTTAACTTTGACTGGATTGTGTCAATTTACTTTAGTGCAGTATTGAAAATATTAGTGTTTATGGATAAATGCAATAGAAATAGGTTCACTCAATGATCATAAGCTATTGAAACCAATGCTTAGAGATAGGGTGGCTAGCCTTTTAGGGGTGATTGCTCTCTGGGGGACATGTGCCATGGGTGTGGGTATGTCTAAAAAAGTGAGCATGCACATATTACACACTCATCAGAGCACACACACATTCAGAGAGGGGGGCCCTCGCACTTCCCAGCAATCTGTGCAGATCAGAAGAAGAGCAAAGGTTAGATCCCCCCATTACAGTGCTGGTCAGAGAGGAAACTCTGTCTTGTCCAGTACCAAGATTGAGGGGGAAATATTGCCCTCTGCTCTACAGATCATTGATTTGATGAGCAGAGAGGGCATGATTTAACTTTCTCCTTCCAGCCCAGTGCGGCAGAGGGACTTGCTGCAGATGCCGTTGTTGCATTTCTGAGTTCTTGGAGGGCAGATGAAATTGCTTGGGTGAGGGTAGGGAGACTTGGCTAACAGGCAGGCAGCTCATCACTTCTGCCCGAAGAGACAGGGAAGATCTACATAAATGTGTGCTGCCCACTCTCTGATATTATTTTTTACTTTTGCTTTGAATTGCATATTTGTATATAAGTTAAATAGTTGTGTTGCTTCACCTTAATTAACAACTAGGAACAACAGGAATTATAGCAAATTCCAAAGGAACACAGATAAAACCAATTTTATGTGGTGAAAGCAATCTGATTTGATTCCCTTCAGCCCCAAATGTACTTCTTCTGACTTCCTCAACATATGTTCAGGTTATGATTCATCATGATTTTATCCAACACACCAAAATCATTGATACATTTGGCTTGGGTTGACTTCACCCCAACAGAAATAGATACAGAAATGAGCATTATATTATGAATATAATATTTACACAGCCAATTTTACTGCTGGTGAAGGTAGCGAAGGGCAGGTGAGGAGTTCACAGCCCAGGGCTGAAGTATGAGTGGATGAGCAAGGGCAGCCTAACAGGGCAGGTATTAAGATTCAGCATCACTGGACACAGAGGGAGAGGTCAAATGAATGGGCAGCAGTGCCGGTAGTGAGGACAAGGGCAGACCTTCCTATTGAGAACATCTTGCTCAAGAGTGCCCCAAACTTGCAACGATCAAGGGATCCTCAAAACATGCAGAGGGGAGGAAGCCCCAGCAGGAAACAGATGCCTGAGTTAGCTCTGGAAAGAGACATGGTTGGACTTCCGTAAGCTAGAATAGTGAGATCTAGATGAACCACAGAATCATGTGAGGAGTATTTTGCTTATGCTGCCAAAATGCACTATAAAGATCCTAGATCTTTGGAGAGAAGAAATGCAGGTTTTTCACGGCTCCTCATATGTGGCAAATCTCTTTTAAACAGTCTTTCTGGTTGTCCAATTGCTGCAGCTGAAAAAATGGCAATGTCTCAGGAAAAAAATCAGCATGAGTCTCCCAAAACAGGGCAGTGCCATGATCAGGTCCACAGGTAAGCTTCACTTACATTATAACATTATAATGTGAAATGCCCTAAAATATTCCTGTTTGCTTTTTTTAAAAAAAGAAATCAAATCCAGTGTCCTGTGGAAGACACAGGAAAATTGGAATGAGTAAACAGATTGAGGTGCAAATTTAGCCAGCTATTTCTGGTGTTTTGTTTTACTCTGTACAGGTCAAGTGTCTTTTCCCGCATGGAGAACTAACTTTGTGACTCCTTTTCCACGAGTACAAAATGCATTATGCATGCAGTTAGTAAATGGGGTAAAAACTAGCACAGTAAGGACTGTGCATGCTCAGTTGCCACAGAATGCTAACTATTGTAGGGAATGGAAATGGGAAAACTAGGTGGGAGGGGGAATGGGATGGAGTATCCTGAAGGATGGCAAGCTGGAGTACTAAACAGGAGCACTCAGCACTGCAGCATTTTTGAAACCATACTCACTATTGTTCTTTCTTATTGTTCCCTTCATTTTCTCTGCAGAACAAACTTGGTGAAGCAACTTGAGATATCTCAGTATAGCTGCCGATCTGCTCAACCAGCACCATCCCCCAGAACCTCCTTCATAAGAGAGCAAGAGAAATGTGGGAAAGTACCATTTGACTATGCTAGTTTTGATGCCCAAGTCTTTGGCAAACGTACATTGGTGCCAGCTATGCAAGGACAAACCCCGCCACAGTTCCTTGAATGTAAGTGGAAGGCAGACAAATTCAATCTCTATTTCTATATCAGCTTGCATGAATATACAAATATTATTTTATTGTGTTTCCAAAATTTATATTCTGCCTTTCATTGCAAAAAAACTGTTTCAGGGTGGATAATAACATAACAACGTTCTTGGAAGCATAAAAAATATGCACATTAGCATCTAAAACCAATGCAATCCAACCTTAATTGGACATAGCCTAGCATAGCTAAGCAGCACTGGTTGACCAAAACATTTCCAAACATACCATAGTAGGGTGATGGGAACCATATTTTACTGGACTACAACTCCCATCATCCCTGACCATTGGGCATGCAGACTGGAGCTGAAGTCTAACAACATATAGAGAGCTCTTGGTTCCTCACCTTACCATAGTAAAGGAATAGCTGGTCCCAATCACACATGCACAGTTAACAACTACTACTACTACTACTACTACTACTACTACTACTACTACTTATTATTTATACCCCACTCATCTGGCTGGGTTTCCCCAGCCACTCTGGATGGATCCCAACAGAATAATAATAATAATAATAATAATAATAATAATAATAATAATAGAAAAGCGATAAAACATCAAACATTAAAAACTTCAGTGCATCCAATACAAGTAATCTATGAGTTGCTTAATGGACTGAGGTGTCCAGTATTTATTTATTTATTTTTACTTGAAAATGCAGCACCAAACCTATATATGGAATGTAGCACTTGATATTTGCTTATTGCCTGAAATCTGTGACACTTGTTCATAATGATTTATATTGAAAATAACCCCATAAAAATCAAGTGGACAGGATCCACTGGTCAGTTAAAAATAGTGTTGTGATATTACACTCATGATCAGTGGTGGGCTTGTCCATTAGGGTGAATGGGGCACTGCCCCAGCAACGTCACTCTGCCCTTAGGTAGCCCCCAGAGTCTGCTGCAGGACTTAAAATTAGTAAGGGAATAGCTCTGTCTTAAATTAGCTTTGGATTCACCTACTGCTTGTCTCTCTGTCTTCTGCCCCACCAATCTCAATGGTCACCATATGCCACTGCTCATGATCTATTTAGAAAAACTAGATGAGTTTCAAACTATTGTTCAGGTTTGAATTGGATAACGGGGGGTACACTAGTCTGACGGGTGATGTGATATTTGTACTGATATGAGAGGAGACAGGTTGCTTTTTTGCTTCTGCTAGTGGCCCCTGACTCGCAGCTGGCACACAAGTTGCTCCTTGAATTTGCATGCAGAGCTGTGTGACAAAACTGCCTCTTCCGCCTCTCACCTTCCTGTCTCCAAAGAAACCCCAAACCTTTTTTTTAAAAAAGGCTAGGTTGAGGGTTTACCTGAATTTAGAAACTACTTTAGATTATGCACACCACAATCTGTCTGAATGGGTTAGATCCAGTCTTGTTCATACTTAAGATAGTCATCATTGATTTCAATGAATCTACTCTTAAGCCCCATTGATTTTAGTGGGTCTACTTTAACTGTCATCCTGTCCCTAAAGGATTTTATGCATACTCCTTGTCAAAATATAGGGCTGGTAGGTTGTATTTTCTCAATTCAAAGTCAATCCCCTCTGAACTGAAAATCCTGTCTGTAATCTGCCAGGCCTGAAGAAACTATTCCTGAGAACCTCTGATATATCTTTGTATTGAAACAGCAAACAAGATCCTGGACAATATTTCTGACATTTCTTGGGCTGCCAAAAATCTTGGCACAAATGTCATTACTACATGACTCTTGGAGTCCCCTAAGAAATAGCTGTTCGCATAATTTTTGAGTCCAGAGGCTTTGAAGCAATATCATCTGGCAATTTAAAGCTTTGGCTGGGGTCCACAGAGACAACTACACATGAGCTGTGGGCACACCCAAATTGCCATTTCAGAAAGACACCCTTTTTAAATGGTGTGAAGTCAATAGGCATTGTGACAACAAAGTGCATGGGCACTTTACAAAAAGACTGCTTCCAGAGGCAATTTCAGGGTGGCATGACTGGTGCGGTCATACTGGGTGCCATGCTGCAGGGCACGCCAGACCAATGCTGTAAAACAGAGCGGGAGAGGTGGGGGTGCCAAATGTTAGTGTCACACAGGACGCTGCTGAAATTTGAGAGCCCAAAGCCTGCCACTACTGCTGCTCTTCACGAAACATTTCCCCTAGATCAGGGTTAGGGAACACCTAACTCTCCAGATGTTGCTGGACTACAGCTCCCATAATCTCTGACCATCAGCAAAGCTGCCTGGGGCTCATGGGAGTTGGAGTCCAACAATATATGAAGGTTCATCATCCCTGCCCAAGATTCTCTGTTTAAATTGCTCATATGCCTAATTTCTAAACCATTTCATAATAATAATAATAATAATAATAATAATAATAATAATAATGGCAGCCAAGGAATTTAAAAAGATGCTTTGGTGTCCTGGGAAAGGGAATACCTTCTGAAAGGGAAACACAGTGGAGGAAAAGGAAGGAAGTGCCACTGAAGTAATTGAATTTACTTCTGAGGTGACATGGGGCGCGCTGTTGGCGAACCCTAGCTCTGTTTTCTTGATTTTTAATATAGCTGACACTTACAGTATGCTCTATATTCATTTTTCTTATGTATACTATAATTAACATTTGTTAATTATATTTTATTTAACTGCTCCAGCCTTCTAAGATTCAAACTGATTTCACAAGAAGAGCAAAACATTGCAGTAAACTTGAGGCAAACCATTTTTGGCTACAACCCAGCATTGTTATAGCTTAGGCCGATTAATTTTGCTTTGGTTTTCTATATTATAACTCAGAGTTCCATGGAATTCATCATGTTTATGTTAATAAAGTTTCCAAGCCCATTTGTGTTTAAATTACAGCTGAGCCAAATATTGTTTGTTCTTTATTCATCCACCACTGGACTTGATGGAAGTGAAAGATTTCTTGTGTAAGGAGTGATTAAGTCTTGAGGAAAGGACCCACAATTTAGGCTCTCACTGAAAATGGGAGCACCTGCACATTTATAAAGCAACTCTGGGTTTCTTAACTAATCTCATGATCTCATGTTTTAAATGCATTCAATTCTGATGCTTCTTAATAGCAATGGTAGAGCTCCCAGTAAAAAACAGACTTACTTTAATGTATTATTTGCCTGTTTTTATTGTATAAAATGATAATACATAAAACCCCAGTATCTTTAACAGAGGGACAATTGCACTCGAGCTATTTCTAATCAAATCTCTTTTCAACAGCAAAGCATTTTTCAAATCCAGGGAAATTTTCTAATCGGCTGCCTAGTGCTAGCGCCCACACACAGAGCCCTTGCCATGCCAACTCTTATGGCTACGGTCAATGTAGTGAAGACACCCACATAGCAGCAGCTGCTGCAATCCTGAACCTTTCCACCCACTGCAGGGAAGCAGCAGAGATCCTCTCCAACAAACCACAGAGTCTGTCTGCCAAGGTAGGCAAGTCCAAGAACCTGGAGGGTGTGCTAGCTACTGAACTGTGTGAATAAACTGTCTTTCATATTAGTGATTGCATTCAATTCCTTCCTTCCCTTCCAAGAGCGAAAGAGAGAGAGGGAAAAAGAGCAGCCCCTTTTTGCATGTTCTTTTGAAGAGAGATGGGAGGGTGGGGGTAGGGGGAGATAGCGGAAGAAAAGAAATGCAAAAACTGTGCTGTGGAAAGTCACTATAATAATAATAAGGGAAGAAAGAGGGGGGAACTCTGACTCCAGAAATGGTTTTTTGGAGATAGTGGTGCAGAATCTGTTGAAATGAGGCTTATTTGCATGGTGCAAATACTACTGCAAGTTACCAGCATTAGTCTGGTTATTAAAATAATAGAAATGAGATGGGGAGGGGCTATCACAGATCTCTGTTTTGCTGTTTTTGCTACTGATAATTCCACTGAATATTTTAAAGAGGTGAATAAAAGGTGTGATGCGTGATGAACATAGGGAAAGATCATTTGAATAACCCATTCATAACTCTGCCTATTTCCTTGTAATCAAGTTTTATTTTCAGGGTGCATTAAGAGTTACAAAAGTAACCTTTGTGTTGTGAAAAACCTTGCTCCATAGGGTATGAAACACCTCTGGCTATGAAACCTGGAAAACAAACAACTTCGGCCCGTTGTTGTTGAAAGCTGTATTTAGTACCATTGGATACCATTTATAGCACCATTAGGGACTGGACCATGGTATTGGCAGAAGCTCACATAATCCATCTTGTAGACAAGATAGACGGGAGCAGGGCATGGAAATGGGTGATGAATGAAAAGTGTTATAGAATGGCACATACAACATTGCCTTTGTACTTGGAGACATTCTCTGGGACACAGAGAGATGTCTGTTTAGCAAGCTTTCCACTGTGTAATGCCGCAGCAGACTCATAACGACAGGATCTTGAGAGCAGTTATTCTGGCTGAAGAGATGCTTCTTCAGCGGGACTCCTGTTCCACATAACTGACTGCTTTGCCTAGTGGGAAAGCTCATCTTTTTATCGCACGGGCAAAATCAGATCAGATATCTGAGGCCTGTCTTCAGTGCATTAGAATTTTCTGGTTTTCCTCCCCGCCCCCCTCGCACCCAACTGTCGTTGCAGCAGCCAGGTTCTCGGAGCCAACGATAGTGACATCCTTGCATTCAAAGCCTGCCTATCAAGACAACTCCATTTTTAGGGCCTGGGGTATGTTGCTGGCTATCTCTGCATCCACGGCTTTTATTCACGATATTGGCCGAAGACATTTTCTAGTGCTGGGCTATGGCAGATATTACTTTGCCACCCCCACCCCCTCTTGTTGAAAAGGAGACTGGTGCCAGAGGCTGTATTAAATTGCTTCCCCTACCTTTGGCTGACCTTAGAAACAGACCTTTCTTGCCAAAGAAAGGTAATAAAGGGACCAGGCATAAGATTATTATTGTTCTTCTTCTTCAGCTGTACACCTGTTTTGCGTTTGCCAAAAAAGCGGAAGGCAATCGTAACCACTCACGGCAGCATTTGGGGCATATAGGAGGTGGGTGGGTGTGATTTTCATCCAGAAATAATTTTTTTTTTGTATTAAAATGGTCGTCAGGCATTGTCCTCTGCCAGCCTTCACTTTTGCCAAACTTCCAGCAGGGCATGATGACAACCAGTGGTACAAAATATCTGACAGAAGAATGAGAATTAGCTTCTGGCCAGAGTGAAGGCAAGCAAAGCTCAAAGAGACGAAGTAGCCAAAATCACACACATTCTTTTTATTTGGTTTGGATAGTGCTCCTTTTTAGGAAATTGAGATTTTTAAACAGAGAAATGCATACTGCAATAGTCTATGGATGCAGGTGCCTAAACTAAAACAAATTACTGAGGTTTGAAAATATAAAGTGAATCAAATACTGTAAACTTGTTTGGTTTTAATTTGATGATCACTTTGTTTTTTTGTTCACACTGCACATTATTTTTCTTTTAATTGCAAAGATGCATTTCAAGCCTGCGCACCACCTTCTCAAGAAATGCCTTCATTTAGTTTGGATTTAAAAATAAAATAAAATTGAAAGAGTATAACTTTCTCTCCTCTCCAATCCAGCTTTTCCATGTGAACCTCCTAGCCCCTCAGAAAAGAAACCCCTACTGGTGACATCTCCTCTGTAAACATGAATGAACAGCAGTGCTTTTGTGTAAATTCTATTTGTTTCAGAGTTACTTGTCAATGAAAAGTTCTTGGTAGATTGAGTCATGAGTTTTTAAACAAAGACTGTGAAGTAACCTGCCAACATCCAGTTATTCTTCCTGAAGCCCACCATAGCTCTACTTATATCTACTAAAATAAAACAAAAAGGGAACAGCAACATAATTGGCATTAATATATCCTCTCTTTGGCCTTGCCTATAACTATCCTCTCTTTAAATGTTATCTATTCTGCTCACCATAATGCAAGAAAATATATTCTGGGTCTTGAGAATGGGATGGATGGAAGGGTAGAAATGATGCTCACCAGCTTTCAAATTCAAACCCCAGGGATCAGGACAAAAAGCATCCCTCATTGTCTCCAGATTGTCTTATCTGTCAGTTTTATTTCCTTATTAGTATGCATTTTGGAACAGGGCATCAGTCTCTTTCTCTCTTTTTTTAAAAAAAATCCAGCTTTTGATTAAATCTGGGGGGAAAGCACATCTGAATGGCAAAAAAAGAAAAAGGGGAAAAATCCAGGCTCTAGAAATGAGATTTATTTCAGGTGCAACATGTTTCAGAATCATTTCCTCCCTCGAGGGCGTGTTTCTTGCAGCAATTCTCACCCAAGTGCAAGGGGCACTTTAGTGACTCCTCCTGACCTTTTCACTTGGTGGGAATTCCTGCCAGAAACATGCCATGTGGAAGGATCTGTTTCCAGAGGATCTGTTTCCGGAGGGTACCACTTCATAGCTGTATTCGCTGGGTTTGCAATACAAAATTTAATCCACATTTATACTAGGAACATCCACCAAACACAATGCTTTAAGGCAATACATGCTTTAAGGGAAAGGTATAATTAGCAGCATAAATAAAATGATCACAAATATATTTTCCCCAAATACAATGGCAGCGATAGTGGAATCTAGGAAAGGCTCAGAGATCTCATGTGATGTTTCATATATTGTGTACAAACCTCTAGAAATTAATTTGGATAACTGAATCAGATTGCAGATATTCTACATTTGTCTACAATCAACTGCATGCAAATATAGTTAATTACCAGGAAAATTAAAAATAAAAATTAGAGTTGGTTTTGACAATCCTGATGCATTTAAATAACAAGAGCTATCTCTCTTGTTTCATTTTTTGGGTGACTGAAAGAAAAATAAGAGATTTAGCAATGATTCAGCCTTAAGCACCAAGGGTTGAAGTGAAACCTTTCAGATTAACCCGTGGCACGTGGCCTTGTCCAACAATGTGGCAAAATGATTTTTGGAGCTGTTAAGATTCACAACTTCTACTCTAATGCAAGTTGTTGTGTCATGTCATATAGTATCACATATCAATCACATCAAGACACAGTTTCCCCCAGTTTTATCTTATGGCTTATGTGGCTGCCACTCAAAGAGGAAGAAACAAGCCGTACATTCTGTCTTTCTCCTCTGAGCTGCCTCTTGCCAAGAATTCTATTTAATGTTTGCGTGTTTTCCTCCCAACATGTTTGGACAAAATGACATATACATACTGTGCCTTGAAAGAAAACAAAACAGAAAAGCAAACAGCACAAACTAGGATGAAAAACATATTTGTTTTTCCTCTCTTTCCTTGTATTAGTAATAGTGAAGTTGACAAGTGAATCAGAACTGTACCCAAAGATAATTTTGTGTGTGTGTGCGTGCATGTGGGCATTTGTGTGTGTGTGTGTGTGAGAGAGAGAGAGAGAGAGAGCAGTGCTGCCAGAATCAAAAGAAAGGTAATCTAATTTTAAAGTTATTCCACTGTATTAAACACTAATGGTGATGTCCAATTAAGTGATACTCAGAGTAGACCCACTATCACTCACTCGAATCCATTGATTTCAGTGGGTCTACTCTGAGTATCACTTAGTTGCATACAACCATAAAAACCACAGAAAATATTTTTTTAAAAAAAGAAAAGAAAAAGAACTGCTAAGTTCTTGTCAGTTGTCCCATTGTTTTTGGACCCATTGGTCAGAACCCTGGGAACACTGCTTCCTGAGGATCACTGAAATACGTTACATAGTATATAATTAAGTCAGTGAACTTACTGCTTCAAGTTGTGGTGATGGGCATTGGCTCAGGTGTCTTTAAAGCAGGAGTACATGAGGAGTACCTGGGGCACTTTCAGGGGTCCTGACTGAGTTGGCCAAGTAGGCCACATTTGGCCTGCAGGCCAGAGCTTCACTCCTGCTTGAAAGGAATTAGAAAGGAATATTTAGAATTAATATTTGTTTGTTTGTTGGCTATACAGTGGTACCTCAGGTTACATATGCTTCAGGTTACATATGCTTCAGGTTACAGACTCCGCTAACCCAGAAATAGTGCTTCAGGTTAAGAACTTTGCTTCAGGATGAGAACAGAAATCATCCTTCGGCATTGCAGCAGCAGCAGGAGGCCCCATTAGCTAAAGTGGTACCTCAGGTTAAGAACAGTTTCAGCTTAAGAGGAGACCTCTGGAACAAATTAAGTACTTAACCCGAGGTACCACTGTACTTTGCATTGGCCACTCAATAATACATGTTCTCTAGGCAGTTCCCAAAAAATAAAATGACCAAAACATTTTTAAAAATACTATTCAACACAATAAAAGGTGCGTGATTTCGTCTTTCTTTCAGACAGATAAAAAATAAACCAGAAATAATACAGTGTCCCTCACACACTCTAAGTGACTCTAATCTCGAGAAAGAAACTTCATGATTCTTCTTAAAGTATCGCTTACCTCCTAAAGACATTCAAAATACTTCTGGGCCAAAGCCTGCCCCCAATTTCTTAAGAGTTTTCTGCTTCACAAAAGGAGCATCCCCTTTTTTGCCTCATTTGCAAGATGCTTTGGGATCGAGTCCAGGCATCTGAAGGTGGTGTGTGTGTTTTCTTTCCAATAAACATTTCTCCAGTGTCTAGCAGCCTCCTTGGCTGCCCACATCTTCTGCTCTGAAAAAGCCCCATTGGGAGGGAGGTACCTTATGATACTTTCCCCTGGGTTTTAACTGAAGGGCAGGAAGCCTGGCTAATCTGTGTCTGAGTTAAGAGTTCTCACTGATTGTGTTTTTAAACGGAAAGTTTTCTCTTGTGCCTTAGAAAAAAACTTTCCTTTCAGATTTCTTTAAAAGTAAACAGATTTCACTTAACAAATAATAATGAACAGCTGACAGATGCTCAGTTGGAAGCCTTCCCATCTTCCCATGCTTACGGGAAACCCAGTCAAGGATGTTATGGGGTTTTCAGGAAGTGCAGGCACCCAGGAAGGCTGTTGAATGCAGATCATTGGATAAATTAGCCACAGGATGAATGGACACTCACAAAATTTCTGAGCTACCTCAGAAGTAAAGCAATTGCAACAAAAATCTGGCAACCCACCCAGGAGAGTTTCACCAACAATGTCTCCTTGAATTTTTTTGAATGCAATTTCTTTTCTTGTCATTTGGTAGAGAATGTTTTAAAAAAGCAGAAGGTATTTTCAGCATAGCACTAATGTAAACACATCTTTACTTTGACAGGATGAAAATAAGCTGTATAAATAAAGCAGGCAATTCTATCCTTTAGAAATGTTCTTTACTCTCTGTTGATAATCACTTCAATGCAGATATTTAAAAACATTCGAACAATAAAGAACACTGAAAGATCCACTAGTAAGGGCAGGATGTGGGTGGGGGGAGAGAGAGAGAGAATCTGATAGTCTTCCACCTGGCGTTGGTTGAGACTGCAGCAAAAGTTATAGCAATTTTATATTGGACTGAATAAAAAGGCCATGCTGTAAACATGGGATCCATCCTCCTGTGAGCACAAGGGACTATTTCTCTGTGACTGTATTTGATTGTTGTGTACATCTGTGAGCACACTTAAACCCCATCTGCACTCTTGTTACACAACCCGGGTATTTTCTGATCTGAATTAGGTACATACTCACCAACCCAACTCCCTTGCACATCAGAAGATAGCCCTCGCCAGTATCTTCATATTCACATCAACAAACGTGTATTGTCTTCCAACCAAGCCTCTTTGGTGCTGCTAAATGAGGCCAGATTTCCAACTGTCAGATGTGTTTCCTGACATGTTTGGATCTGTGATTTAATTTGAGAAGACTTTGACTGTTTTATGGAATTTGTTTGCTGTTGTCTCCTGCCTTCTGAGTTGCTGGTATTTTGTCAGTGACAGAAAATCTGCACTATTTATGGTTTTTGCACTATAAAACTACTGCATCCCCCATTGCATGGCATCTTCTCCTAAGCCATCTGTCACAGAGGTCTGGCATTTTATGTGAATGTTGGTCAGGCAGACTTAACCCAAGTTTTTTTTTTTTCCCCTATGAAAAATGTCAGCAACTACAATGTTTAGCATTTTACTTTACAGTGGCCATTAAACTTGATTACTTGTAGCTCTGTTTCATGGCTGTACTTATATATCAGCTATGAAGCCAAAAAAACACAAGGGTAATCATGGCAACAATGTGCTCAGGTCCTGGGAAGTTCAGCTGGCAGTGATACAGTTAATATCTTGGATTTTTGTAAGTAAGGTTTTTTTTAATGCTGATATAAAAATGTATTTGATATTATACAGATGGCATAAGATGTTGTGGTTACTAAGTTATTATCCAGGATAAGCTGTACTGTCAAAGTCGGGGCTTAAAACTATCACAGGAGATTAAACTATTTACTAAAAAGGGGCAAAAAGATATAACGAAAGCATCTTAGTGTATGAACATATTAGAAGTGTATTTACTTCCCATAAGTATAATAAAGCATATCTCTCTTTAAGCTGGGGGATTGAAAATGTGGACTTTGTCATACGAGAGGAACAAACGCAAGAGTTTCTAACTTGCACTCTCTCGGGCAATTGGCCTGATTGTTTTCAACTTTTCAAAAGGAACTGAGATGAACTGATCTTTTTTTCTAGGCCTGTGTCTAAACATCATGCAGGCATAACATTTCCTGGCTAGTGCTTTGAGAAGCAGCATACAGTGCTACAGCTGGATCACGTTAGGTCAAAATGAGTTATTTTTCTCAGGAATTGTTCTGCTAACTGGATGCTGCTACCAGGATTGTCTATGTTAAGTGGTTGGCCTTCTTTCAATCAACATTGTACCTGACATCTACATTCACAACTGGATGCCATTGAGATATTTGCTGACTGTACAAAGTTTGAGGAACATTTGACTCTCCTTTTGATTGTGGGCAATGTTCAAAACTCCCTCCCCTTTCTAGCCAACCAGCTGAGTTGTTTGTCAGGCATGTGAGGTAAAGCGTTAGGCCAGATACTGTTAGACAATATAAGACTTCCAGGGCCAGGCACAGCCACAGGATTCCATCAAGCAACAAGTTAGTCATCCCAGAGGAGAAGTAGGCTGCACATGGACTCACTTGACCCTTCATTTCCAGGTGTTGGTTATTTTACTCTGCATGATTTTACTCTGCATTTTAAAGAAATATCTGGAATAATTGATCCAAGATGACTGGGTCCAGCTTTGACCAGGGAGGGTGGGATACAAATAAAAAAAATATTATTATTATTTATTATAATTGTATGCCTGGTATGTAACTAGTGCTTTGGAGTTCTGCATAGTTCTGCTCTTAAGGAGATGCATACCCGAAACACTATTCCACATATCACCCATCCATCCCTAAGCAGCATTTGGCTGGCTACTGAATCTCTCCATTGGTTAATTGCTCCTCCTTTTCCCTTCCACAGTTAGAAGAAAAACTTTCCTCTTCTTCTAGTCCACACATCTTGGATGTGTGATATAGATTTCCCCAGTGAATTTCTCTGGCTGTTCTGTTAGATACAATACAAATGAACAGGCAAGGGTTTGTGGAAACTATTGCCATAGTGAATCCTTGCCTCTTCTGAAGCTCTTTGGCCTGACTGTTGATGAAGCACTGTGCCATGAGGCAAAGTGAGTTGACCACCTCAAGTGACAGGATCCACAGGGGCAAGAGATCTGGCCTCCAATGAACGCATTGGCTGTTACTGTTGCTGCAGTGGCACACCCCTTGCAGGCCAGATCTGTTGGTCTCCTCCTACCCTTGTTCCCAGAGTGGATCTTTATTGCCTCCATGTTGCTGATGTAGATTTTCACTCACCATTTCTTCCTTGGTGGGGGACACCATTTTGTGGTATGCCTCAGGTGCCAAAATGTCTTGGGCTGGCCCTGATCAATCATAACCAGACAATCCAGTGCAGTGCCCCAGTTTTCTGTACTATAACGTCCTGGGAGGCACATGCCATTTGACTGGTGCAGGGGGCAGATGTTCTAACCTGTGTAGACGCTGTTGTACAACTACTAACTTAACTGGTAGATTTCTCTGTACAAATGAGAAGAGTGTGCTTTCGCACTGAGAACTTGCTTGCAGGCTTTGTGTAGGCCTCTGGTTGGCCACTGCAAGAGCAGGATGCTGGACTAGATGGTCCACTGCCCTCATCCAGCAGGCTCTTATGTTCTTAATAAAGTGCAGCAGATGAGAAATATGATTCACACATAACATTCAGAGGCATGACAGAGTTTGGCCTTATGGCAGAATAAGGGTGACCATGAAGAATAACAGCTTGCATCTCAGTCCACAATGGAGCTCTGCATTTCAGGGAAGGACACAGTCTGGACCTCTTGATTACAGTAAACCTTTTAAAAGTTCTTTATAATTCAAGCTCCATTTGAGATAAACTGAGATTGTCACTGATATATAAAAGACCCATGACAAATGCTCCCCTTGGGTCTGATTTGTACATTTGTTTCCCCTCCCCCTCTGATACAGATGTTGCAATATTGTGAGAGAGTGGGGGTGGATGAAATGTAATAATAATACTGTTGATGAGCTAAGCAGTGAATTAATGCTTTTATCTGAAAAGGGATCATAGTTCTCTGTAAAAGTGAAATGATTCAGGAGATTTAATGCTAAACTTTTTTGTAAAAAACCCCCCTCAGATTTAGTACATATAGTTTACATTTAAGAAGCATCTTATTCTGCTTACTGTGTTTAAGCATAGAAACATGGAAAGAGCATTATAGAGGTATCTCTTAAGTCTGCCTAAGAATTAAATATTAACGGGTATAAATCGAAAAGCTGGTTTTTTAGATTTAGATAAATTTAAATAAAAGCAGGCATTTCCACTTATCCCTTAAAAGCTCTGCAAGTCTTATTATGTTGTTGCTGCAAACTGTTCACACTCTAAACATTTCTCTCTTTCCCCTTGCGTATCAGGGAGCTGATATAGAAGTGGATGAAAATGGCACCCTGGATTTGAGCATGAAAAAGAACCGGCACCAAGAAAAGAGTACTCCGCTAACGTCTTTCAGTACAACAGTTCCCACGCCTGCCTCTTCTCCCTTCAAAACAGGCAGCATTCTGGTCAATGCCACCTTCTACCAGGCGTTGTGTGAAAAGGAAGGATGGGATACGCCAATCAACTATAGCAAGAGCCAGGCGAGAAAGGGGGAGGAGAAAGAGGTATATTTTTTGTTTATCACAATACACCATGGAGGGAATTGTTGATCTTGGAATAATTTATTTTACAGTACCCAGTTTGAGCTATGGCAGCTAGTACTCCACTCCTAAGCCCATGTGCAAGTCAATGGCACCATTCATTTTGGTGGGAGTAAGAATGAGACAGTGTACTAAGAATTAGGGTGCTAATGAGGATTTTTCCTTCCTGGCCTATAGGAAGGATGTGCAGTTAGAACCATTATGAAAGCCAGTGAAGTTATGATCCTGTATCCAATTACCTGGGAATAAGTCCTATTGAACTCAATGAGGCTTACTTCTGATTAGATGCATACAGGATTGCATTGTAAATCATGCATTCTAGAAAGCATGATCAGTATTCCTAGAAAGCAGCATCACATTTTGGGAACCAGTTTATGTAGGGAATAATGAAAACATTTTAAATCCTTAAAAAATAAAAGAAAGAAACTGCATGGGATTTTTCCAGCTCTGTATATATGATATGATCAATATATAATTAAAGTTCACACTTCCATGATAGACATTAAGAAGTTATGACAATGCTTTATCTCTGATCTGCTATGCATTCATATTCTTTATACATCATGATTTAGAGAAATGGTAATTTTTGCTTTGCTAGCAATATCACTTCTTTAAGAGATTTGATAGAACAATGAAGCTCTTCCAAAGGTTTTTCTCTCTCTCAGCAAACTCAACATTAAATCTTAGCATTTAAAATACTTTTATTCAGTCCAACCCTTTGGCTACACATCTCTTATCCCTAGGAAAATATGAGGTCAAAATATAAAAGTCTCTGCTATCCTGTGATCAAACTCATAGGGCTAAGATTTGTGAAGTACAGACTTCCTGGATTAATGTGCAGGCCTGCCCAATCATATGTAAAATGGCGCTACACTTACAAAGCAATGATGTAGGGGCTGCAACCTCTGTCCACTGCTTCCCATTGGCATCCTGCAGCCTCTCCCCCAAGGTCATTTTTTTATCCATTTTTTAAAAAAATAGTATTTATTAAGGTTTTAAATTTACAAAAAGGTCATTTTTTTATCCAGTCTGGTACTGACACTGGAAGTGAATCTGGCTAGGGAGGGGCCATAAAGGCAAGCAATGAGCAAGAGCCCCTGACTATCCACCCTTCCCCCCACAGACTTCAAATTGCATCTCTGCTGCCTGTTAAGCATAAAACTATGCTCTACATGGGGCTCTCTTTTAAGGCAACTCAGAAACTGCAATTAATTCAGAATGCGGCAGCTAGACTGGTGACTGGGAGTGGCCACCGAGATCATATAACACCGGTCTTGAAAGACCTACATTGGCTTCCAATACGTTTCCAAGCACAATTCAAAGTGTTGGTGCTGACCTTTAAAGCCGTAAACTGCCTCGGTCCTGTATACCTAAAGGAGCATCTCTGCCCCCATCGTTCAGCCCGGACACTGAGATCCAGCGCCGAGGGCCTTCTGGCAGTTCCCTCATTGTGAGAAGTGAGGTTACAGGGAACCAGCGGAGGGCCTTCTTGGTAGTGGTGCCTGCCCTGTGGAACACCCTCCCATCAGATGTCAAGGAAATAAGCAACTATCTTACTTTTAGAAGACATCTGAAGGCAGCCCTGTTTAGGGAAGTTTTTAATGTTTAATACTGTATTGTGTTTTTAATCATTGGTTAGGACCCACCCAGAGTGGCTGGGAAAACCCAGCCAGATGGACAGGGTATAAATAAATTATTATTATTATTATTATTATTATTATTATTATTATTATACTGGTATAGATCCATGTTTAAAGACACAGATCTGCTGCTGTCATCTGTAGCTTGACCCAAAGCTAATGCTCAGATTTAGTCGTTAAAGAAACCAAGCACATTTTTTTTAAAAAAACCCCACACATAAGCCGCATCCCATTTACTCCTCTGTGTTCCTCACAAAGACACTAGAAGAGAACATCAATATGCATGTCAACATGGCACATCAATTTGGCCTACAATAGAAACTGAATAGAAAACAAAAAATGCAGCTGTGGTCCCCTGCCCACCCCTTCATAAATAAGACAAATATTTACATAAAGTAATTCATCATTTGTAAGAGATACTGTACTAAATTATAATTTAAACCTGGTGATTTCCTTGATTTTTGTTATGTTCTTTTCATTTTTGTGTTTATTGAGCTTTGGCAGGATGTTGTGGGGTGTTTTTTCTGCTTGTTTGTTTGTTTTCTTCCCTCCTCCATCTTTTTGGCCATGTTTTCCATAGGAACTTGTTGCCAGAGCTAGGCAAAGTGGAGGTTTATTTGGACTTTCTCTTATGACAAAAAAATAAATAAAAAATCAGCATTGACCCTTTTATGCCAACTGACTGACACTTTGATAAATTAACAGAAATCAGAACAGTTTGTTCAGCTTTATATATCCCTGTAACTTAGGAACGGTACAGACAAAATGGCTGCCAGGTGGAGGCCATATTACTATTTGCTGCCATAGTGGTTTCATACTGAGCAAGCTATTTGTGGTCAAAAAGCAGAAAACTAGTGTTTCCTCTCCATGTCAGTGAAAATTTTGGGAGTGAAGAGTCTGTGGGATGTTAGCATCCAAAATGCATACGTAAAGGGTTAATTGCAAGAGATGTAGAACTCTGCGATGTCATATGCCTGAGGCAGTTATGGCAGTTATTTCAGTTATGGCAGTTAGTTTAAGAGTCTTAACAGTTAGAGCAGCAGGTATGTTGTGTTAGGCTGTTGTCTGCCTCAGAGTTTCAGTCAGTCTGTAAATGTTAGTCAGCCTTAGATACAAATCTATGTAAGATGTTTTAGCAACTTAAGTATCACCTACCTGCATTGTATATTTAATCTGTAACAGCAAGTACAAAAATTTATATGTTATTTGAACTTCAAAACAGAGTGTCTTGCGTAATTTTTATAGGAAGGAAAAAGAGAACTAATTAAAGGGCCAAACAACCCAGGGCTTTCTTCTGCATACTCTGCAAACGGGAACTAATTCCCACATAGTATGGGACAAAATTCCTGAATCTTTTGGATAACTGCTGCATACCAATATTAAACACAGAACAGCTACTTAAACTTGTGATACAACTGCTCAGATTTCAGTTCTAGAGGATCACTGGTCCATGTAGCTTAATATTGCTTGCACCAGAGGTAGCCAAACTGGTGGTCCCTCTACCACACATGTATATTTTAACTCTGACCTGCCCCAGCTAGTCTATGATCAGGGATGGTGGTGGTAGTAGAAGAAGAGGGCACTTCATTGACTCCCATGGTCAGCACTGACTAGCAATGACCCTCCACGGTTTCCCAACCTGACTTGGGAGATACCAGGAAATGAACCTTATACCTTCTTCACAGAAAGTATTTTTCTACTTGCTTAGCCATGACTGTTTCCTCAAATAACATGCTGCAATAAGTCAGTTGCAACAAGCAACCATTTTAAAGCTGTGCCTTCATGCTAGTCATTATGTGTGTGTCTTCTGGTCCTGAGCAATCTCACAGGTGATAGATTTTTAAAAAAAAACAAAAACAAAACACCTTGTGTTGAAGTGACACTCTCCTTAGGCAGACAATTGCCATACAGGCCCACTTTTTGTTGATGTTATTGTTTAGCATCTTGCTTTAAATTTGTGGCAGCAGCACCCACGGCAAAGGGGTTAGGAGAACCCGAGGCTGGCTGAAACATGTTAGATGCAAGTGGGTATGATCAGAGCACTATACAGAAGCCACGAGGAAAATAAACCACCAAAGAGTTATGTGGCAGCTTGTGGTGCTTGTAGAGAAAAAGGACAAGGATAAGCCGATCTTGTTCCTAGCTTGTGACAGGGGTAGTAATCGCAAGACAAGATTGCTGTGTTTGTTCCTATCTCTGAGGCTGACCTTGCTAAAGAAGTGCCTTATCTTCCTGGGTCCTCAGCAGTTGTTGCATTTGTGGTGATGGAAGAGGAAGAGGAGTGTGTTCATTGTGAGACAGATGCTCACATTTCAGTCTTACACATACTAAAACGTTTGTTAATAAAGAAGTCCTAAACCAGGATAATGAGTGAATTCAATATAAAATTACTTCAATTCAGCTGGTTTTGATTTGAACCCATCCAATGAACCAAACTCACAACTGGGTCCTGTTGCTGGTGATATGAGCCAAGTTTCCAAAAGGGCAAATTGTTCCATAGTGAATCTAGAAAATCCCTGGAGATAGTTATGGGGTTTATCCAATAGATTGCAGCTGTAGAAGTAAAAAATATAACAACCCCAAAACATTTCTGTGAATTAAACAAAAGACTTTGGATCTGAGTACATAAAACCTTGATGGAGACAATACTGTATACAAAAACTGCTGCCAAGATTTTCAGCACATAGACATTCTCAGCTTAAAAGTTGTGGGTTTTGTGCACCACTCTTTTAAAAAAGATCTGAAACTTTAACAGAATACTATTTCCTCACAAGTCAAGCTTGCATCATCCAACCCACAAGCTTCTTGATCCTCCAAAGTCAACTTACTGTCTCTGAAATGTTTTGGTTTTTTTAATTCTACAGCTTTTCCAACACTAGATAACAGCAGGAGTCTTAGAAACTTCTCAAATTACAAGGGTATAAGTTGCCTCAAAGTAAAATAAAATAATCTATTTTTAATTTATTTTCTGGTTCATATGCACAACAGTTGGCTGATTTTGTTGGTCATTTCTAGAAAATATTGTCTCCCTCGTACACTGAGAAATGGCCTGTCCAGATGCCCCTTAAAAAAAATAATCCTGAATTTGGAAGAGGCTCACACTTTCTCCAAAAGGAAAGTGCTGAGAAATAACTGGAGCTGTCAGTTTAGTTCAACTGTCAGTTCTCTAAAGATTCCAGGGTTTAAAATGTTGAAAGTGCCAGATGCTATTATCTGTTATTCGTGTTGTCATTATGTTCTGGTCTTTGCAGAAATCAATATAAATGTCCATCTGCACATTAATGGAATTTCATTCATTTATTTTTGTCGTCCTGTGTGCACATAGGAATATGCGCACTGGCAAGAACTCAACTTGAAACTAGTGGCGCTTCCCTGCCATCCCCAGTAACCCCCCCCCCCAACACATACACACAAATACAGTCTGCAGTTTGGCAGACTGTTCTGGAAATAATGGGGAAGTTCAGCTTTTGTACACATCCCCCCCACCTTTGTAAAAAAAAAAGAGCTCTTAACTGGAAGTAAGCTTGTTATCAGTGGTACCTTATTTCTCTGAATCAACTGACCATTTCACAGTAGTCGGCACTTGTGATGCACATGAATGGCCTCTCATGTTTCTCCTTCCTATTTATTGTTTGAATATTTGTGACCTGCACTTTCATAGAATCCTATAATTGTAGAGTTGGAAGGTACCTAAGGATCATCTAGTCCAACCCCCTGCAATGCAGCTGTCCCATACACAGATTGAACCTGCAACCTTGGCATTCATGCAATATATTAAGGTGGCTTACAGCATGCAATACAGCATGCTTACAGCATGCAATGCAATAAAAGCAATCAATCTAGGTAAAACATAATTAAAACAGCAATAAAGCAGCAATAGATAATGGCTGGTTAAAAATTAAAAGAAAATGTGAGGGCCTACCTTAAAAAGCACAGCTTTTAAGAGTTGTCTGAAAGAAAGCAGGGGCAGTTCTTGCTGAAGCTGCACAGGTCGTGAGTTCCACAGGACAGGGCTTGCTATGCTAAAGCCTTGGTTCCTAGTGAAGGCAACTGAACCCTAGGGGCTGAAGCAGGGTCAGCCGAAGACATTTTGGTACCTGCAGCGAATCACAATATGGTGGGGGCCCCTCCCTACCAGGGAAGAAGATATGAATGAAGATAAGGATCTGCTGCCATCTCACCTTGCCTTGTGGGTGGCTAGTCTTGGGCTAGGTAAACCCCCAGAAGGGCTCCATCAGAGATATTATCAGCAGAAGAATTAGGGGAGCATTTTCACCAAACTTCTCTAAGGACAGGAGAAATTCTCAAACCGTTTCTTAGGGCTGAGGCTTTCCATTAGCAGTGGCCATAGGCTGGCACCTTAACTCCTCCCACCCAAAGTCTTTGTTTTTGTCTTGCTGGTGTTAAAAGCAGCAGCTGCTATGTTGGCAGCGTGGGCACCATTTTTCACCCTGCTCAGATGGGAATGGTGGCCATTGCACAAACAAAAGATGGAGCATGTTGTGATAACATTCTAAATAGTTATCTAAATTCCCCTTTTATCCTAGGGGAAAAGGGGGGGGGACTCAGAATTGTACTCAGAAATAGGTCTTCTGAAAAATTTTGGTTCAGCTCTAGCTACCAGTATTGTGTTGAAGATAGAAGCACCTCATTCTTTTCTGTTATTTCAGAAAGATCCTGCGAGCTGTCCTGAAAGCCTGGATGAAAAAAGATACTCAGATGTCTCAGTTCCTAGTCCAAAATCTAAGCTCCATTCAAGAGATCTCAAAAAGGAACTGATCACGTGAGTCACAAAACATTCCTTTCCATCTTGTTATCTATGGGCTTGAGAACTCCACACACTGCTGATTTGCCCAAGGTGAAAAAATGCTGGACCTCGTCCCTAATATACACTGCAGAATATTGGGTGCCATTACATCTTCCTTTTTAGCGCTGGACTTTAAATCTCTGGGTAGATTTGGGGCAATAGTCTCCTTTGCTTTTGGCTCATGCCACATAGCAAGTATGAAAACTTCAGGGAAATGATCACTTCATAAACAGGTCGTCTATATCCTGCATGTATTTTTCCGTGTAGAAGACTAGGTTTTTTTCCTTTAAAATAATGTCAAAAATTAGGGGGCGTCTTATACTCTGAGCCGTCTCCCACCATTTTCTTAAATCTGAATCCCCCAAAATAGGGGGTGTCTTATACATGGGGGCATCTTATAGATGGAAAATACAGTAGTTTCTGTTTGCTGTACCTGAAATCAATCTACAGGCAGGCCTGTTTGAATGCTACAATTCTGTGGGAACACAAAACAACAACAGAATGTGTTCATTGCAAAAAAATTAACTTTGCCCAAGAAGAGCTTGGCTTCTAATAGAGCAGTTGTTGATATGTAATAGAGCAGTTCCTAATCAGTCAGTTTCATATGATCAATGTATCATTAATAGTTGATATTCTTTATTTTTCTCTGGCAGCATTCACAAGACGGTTTATTCCGTTTTACACTTGATCTTAGCCAAAAGGCTGAGAAGCGTTTCCGTTTTCACAATGTTTTCCTAACTATTAATTTCCACATTATATTTCAGTTTCCACATGATATATAAGCCACTTCTAGAATATAGTGAGATATAGCACAAGTTTATCACTCATTTCCACGTTATTTGCCAACGGGTTTTTTTCTGGAAGCAAATAACACAGAAATGAGCACTAAGCTTGTGCTATGTTCCACTATAGTTCCAGAGCTGGCTTTTACACCATGTGAAAGCCCAAACATAATGCAGAACTTAATAGATAGGAAGAAGTTGTGAAAATGGAATAAACAGCCACATGAATGCAGCCTCTATCTCTGTTTTCTATAATTTCATTTATTCATCACCAAATACTTTGATATCAATTCTATGTCTGACGTTTGCCTTATGGATTTAGAAGCCCTCCTCCAGATATTACTGTTCCCATGGGCCAAATCTTCTTTGACACAGCATGCCTCAATCTAAATCTAAAGACTGCTCACCATATTGTATCCACACTTATGTGTTAGCTTTGCCTTTTTTAAGAACACAAATGTTGATGAAGCTAGCAGAAGGAAAAGCAATCATTTCCCCAGTGACACTTTATTTTTATTTTTTACTATTTATTAAATTTCTATTTAAAGATCTGTTGCTGTGTGACATTAATTCCAGGGATCCACACAGCCATTTACTACCTTAATAACTGAACATAATTTCTTCTCTCTATAGTTACAATAACTCCAAGCCTTGTATGGGATTTTAAAACATCCGTAATACTTGCTCTGCATGCTGATGTGTACCCAAAATGTGCTTGGCTACACAATTTAATTCATAAACACTTAAGACTCGCCATTTAAAGATTCTAAAGGTAACACTGAGGGCAGAGGACATTTACTAAATATTCACCGGCAGAATAGGTAGTTTAGTGAGCAATACAAATGGCTCCATCATGAGGAAGCACCTATAATGACAATAGCAATTGTAAAGAAAAATTCTACCTCTGAGGCTCAATTATAATGAACTTTCTTCATTATAAATATAGATTACATATTTTTTAATATTAATGGTCTCTCTGGTGATTATATTTATACCAAAGCAGCTGTATGACACAGAATGGAATAAGTTGTCTAAATGATACACTAGTTCTTTAAAAAAAATATGGTGCATTCTATGCCTGTTTTTAAAATATTACTTTGTGGTCCGTGCATCAACAGTGTTTTGGGAGGATTAACTAAGAGAATAATTTTGCTTCTGAAGAAATAAAAAAGGAATAGCTGAGACCAAAATGCAGTCTCTGGATTTTTCAAAGTAATTGGGATGGGGGGCTAACGATTAACCTGTAGAAAATTGGAATAGGTGAGCCCTTTTCAGAAAAGGGCAGTTTCTCATATTGTAGGGCCCTCAAGTTCATGATTGTTAGTCCTTACAGTGTCTTGGTGAACTTGGGCCACCTAAATCACGAGATCACATCAGCTTTTAATATCACATATATTGTGAATATATAGCAAGGGATGTGAATCCAGATCCATACACAACCTTTTTTAAAAACATTAAATTGAACTTTCCCCCCTGAAAAAAAAATGCCTGTGGTGAATTAAGAGTCTATGGGCACCCAATGCTGAACTAGTATAGTGTTTTTACAAGAATATGAAAGTTACAGCATCCATGCCTTCTGAGAATTTTCAGCTCAGCTTTGAACTCATCTTCGCTGTCATAATATGATTGATGTGATAAGAAAAAGGTACTATTATGAAGTGTATCATTTCAGACAAATGTAAGGATCATCTTCCCATGCCTCTCCACATTATTGTGTATCACTTAAGACAGCATTTGGGCATGGAAGCAGTACATAAATGAATGAATCGTAACACACTTGGAGAAATATTAGCACAAATTAGGAAATGTAGTGTGGAAACCCATTGGATGGTACTTGGCTAAATTTTACACAGAGTAGACATACTGAAATGAATAGCCCTAACTTCCTCATGTTCATTAATTTCAGCGGGTCTACTCTGAGTAAAATTTATTTGACTATCACCTAAGTTCATTTTTTTTTTGTTTGCAATGGCATGAAGAAAAATTGATGCAATCACAGAAAGGCCTGAGGGTATCTCTCACTTACACTAATATTTCTTGGCACAGTAGGGCACCGTATATATATCTATGGATATGTAATAGAAGGGTGTTCCCATTCATGTGGGAAACAATTCTCCATCTTTGTATGTTTATCACACAGTTCAATAAGAGAGATGTACAACAACTGTATGTGTACCTGCATTTCCATTTTATTTCCTTAGGTGTCCAACACCAGGATGTGATGGCAGTGGTCATGTGACAGGGAACTATGCATCGCACCGCAGGTAAAAAGTGAGAGCAATTAATAACAAAATGAAGGCATGACGTTGTGGACTTTTTACTTACAAACCTGTTCCCATAAAAACACCCCGAGCATTTTAGCAATAAAAACATATAAAAACACAGAGCTGAAATCCAGTACAGATGCAGATGGGGATAAAAATCTCCATTTAAAAGGAAGGTCTCCAATAAGTACCAAAAATATAACAGAGGCAGAGCTTGTTGGATATGTAACAGGAGAGTGTTCCAAAGGGTAAATGCTACTAAAGGCCCAGTAGCACATTGTGCTAAATGGAGCTCCCTATGCAATGGTTTCTGTGATGACCAAGGTCCAGCTTACAAACAAGTCCCTGTAGCAGTTGAAATGCATCATCTGAGCAAGAAGGAGCTCTGTGGCCTATGAGGGATACACAGCTGTATCATCTACTACACTCTTCCTTCACATCCCTATGGGGATGAAGGAAACTAAGAAGGGATTTGTTTACAAGCGGTTGCTCTGTGATCTTTTTTTTTTAATTTAATGGTTAAATAGTTTTAGTGCAATCTTTTAATTTTTGCTGAGGTATATTCAAGGAAGCCTATTTCATTTTGTTTTTTCCCCTAGTGTTTCTGGCTGCCCGTTGGCTGACAAGACCTTAAAATCCTTGATGGCTGCCAACTCTCAAGAGCTTAAGTGAGTATTAGTATCAAAGGAGAGGGAGGGGTTTATTGCTGTTCTCTTCCTACATATTTTACTTACTTCAAAACCCAGTCTGCTTGTTCAGCAACAGGAACCAGTACAGCTGCGGAGCAGATGTTTGCTCAGCCTTTGGGGTAACAACTCCAGCTTCCTGTAGAATGCACTAGTCCAGCTCTTGCTCCAGTGCTAGGTTTTGGTCATGGACACATGATATGGTGTCTTGGATATGGTGGCAAAGGGTGACAGGTAGCCAGGCAAGGGAATAAACCTGGATAGTTGCAAATGCTCTCAAAGCAGGCCTAAAGACATCTGTCTCCCTATTGTCCAGAGACTGCATGATTATTAACTCACTTCTGAATTAATTGCAAACAGGAAAACTCCACACTTCAATATTTTGTTACAGGTCTCATAGTTAACTGTTTTTCCACATGTGACAGCCATGTCCAAAAGAGGGATACTAACAGGCTTGGGGAAACTCCAGGGTTTGCAGAAGTGCAGAAAAGATTCGGGAAAATACTTTACTGTGGGACCCCAAAAGCATAACTTGAATAGAAACACTCTGCAGTGGAATATTTTGTTGCAGATCCCACTTGTCAGTGTCTAACTTCTACACCTCTGCCATTCTGCCCCATACCTGTCCAGTTTGTCCCCTTTCACTCATGCAGTCCTGCCAGTGTAAGAGGTATAGCTATAGTAATAGCACCTCCCACAGGGACAAGGTTGTTGGGTTTGCACCAACAGGGAGTTGAACTGCCCTGGCTAAGGGAATTTGGGAGCAGTCTTATCCCGCCCAGCAGGTGTAAATCAGAGGAAGGGGAGAGAATCTTACTGTTTGTCAGGTCTTGAAGTAGATGTGTCTAAATGTTGGGAAAGAAAATGTTATTCTCATATTTTGAAAGCCAGCTGGAAATACCAAGTCTTGCAAGATGGCTGGATCTCACAAAATATGCAGTCTGGTTTTTCAGATCAAAGTACTTGGGCTAAGCTTTAAAATGTGAGTGTTTATCCAAACCAAGCCTGCAAATCTTTCCTTTTTATCCTTTGCCACTAGACATACCCCTCTGCATGTGGTTGAGGCAGGCATTAAATCAGATGAGTCCATATACTGCAGAGAAAAGTCACAAACAAAAGAGTGGCTGTGGAGGTTCTTAAGGAGGCCTGAGCAATCTGGGCATCTGGCCTTATTATTGAAGAGGAAGGTTGGCAGGCAGTCACCCAGTTATCATTGGGAGCGTTTTGGCTGATGAAGATGCTTGGATAAAGTCTGGCGAAGGCTTCCAAGAATGCTTGACAGAATCCTGTGCTCGTGTAGTGCAGCTTGAAAAAGTGCAACAAATACAGAGCTGGTTACTAATTTGTTGTGAGGAATGCAGACATCTTTCCCAAGGGCAGCATTTCTGTTTGAGAGTTAATCCCGCATTCCCACTGTAGCATCTTGATGAAATGTAACTGTCTTCAAAACTGGTGCATTGGTTGCAATAGTGAGCACTGTGCATAACGTCATTGGGCCATTGGAACCTGTGGGCTACCGCCTATGCAATTGCTAGGAACATATGAACCTGCCTTCTACTGAGTCGGTCCATCTAGCTCAGTATCGCCTGCACTGATGAGCAGTGGCTCTCCAGGATTTCAGACATGATTATCTCCCATCCCTATCTAGAGGTTTCAGGAATTAAGTCTATGACATTCTACATGCAAAACAGTTGCTCTACTGCTGAGCTGTGGCCCTTCACCTCAACTCTTGCTGATGAGCAACACACTCTTGCCACCACTACTGCCAGGATTGTCCCTTCGTTCAAGAAGCAGTGCTGGAAATTGTTGTATGCTATTAACAACCACTTCATTTTATGCTTCCAGCTGCGTTCTGCCCCACTCTTTGGTTTGGTGAGGTGGCAACAATAAGTGCAGAGTAAGAGGTTTGACGGGGATGTGGGTGGCACTGTGGGTTAAACCACAGAGCCTAGGACTTGCCGATCAGAAGGTTGGCGGTTTGAATCCCCGTGACGGGGTGAGCTCCTGTTGCTTGGTCCCTGCTCCTGCCAACCTAGCAGTTCGAAAGCATGTCAAAGTGCAAGTAGATAAATAGGTACCGCTCTGGCGGGAAGGTAAACGGCGTTTCCGTGCGCTGCTCTGGTTCGCCAGAAGCGGCTTAGTCATGCTGGCCACATGACCCGGAAGCTGTACGCCGGTCCCCTCGGCCAATAAAGCGAGATGAGCACCGCAACCCCAGAGTCAGCCACAACTGGACCAAATGGTCAGGGGTCCCTTTACCTTTAAGAGGTCTGACAGGAAGCACTTCCTCCCTTCCCTCACCCCTCTGGCTCTGGCATTGAGAATGCTGGAATATTAGTGTCTCAGCTGCCAGGAAAACTGGACATGTCATTTTCCTAGGATACCTGAGCCCTTACAATGCCATATGGGGATTCTTCCCTGGTTCAGATTGCAATCAGAGAAATGACACTGAGTTTTGAATATAGGCAACTATTCCTAACATGCTAAATTTGTATTCTGAACCAGGTTAATAAAACTTCCAGCAACATTGCTATTCTCCTTTTGTACAACCACTGCAAGCCTCTTTGAGACACTACTGAGTATATTCTATATGAGGTCACTAAGATGTTCCCATCACACCTGTATTGCACATGTATTATAAGTTCCCCTATGGAGAGCCAGGACTAATGGCATGAATAACTCCACTGCACAGTATTAACAAAAGAAATACAAAATGCTGTTGAGCCAAACTATAAAATCCCTATTTCTAGGAGAAAGAGAAACAAATGTTGTGTGTAATGGTTATACAGGGGGTTATATTTCTTTAACAATTAATCCAGTGCATATATTTGAGCTTGACCATATATATTTTCAGATTTGAAATGCACTGATTCTAACAAATCAAAAAATTGTTTTCTTCTTCCCCTTCCCAGAAATCTAAATAACTGAGTGGGGAAATTGTGAGGTTTATATCAGTGGCTGAATTTTCATGTACAACACAGCCCTTGAACACCCCAAAATAGTTGCTTTCCTTAGGTACCCTTTCTTATTTTTCCAGTTGCACATGGTCATGTCAAACCAGGATTGTGGGAAATTCCAATGCAAAAATCTCCTAAATTAGGTATTTTATGAAATGTCAAGGGTCATCTTCTTCTCTGCACTTTGCTTTATAGATGTCCAACTCCAGGATGTGATGGGTCTGGTCATGTCACTGGAAACTATGCCTCACACAGAAGGTAAGAATCTTCTGCTTATTTTTTTTGGGGGGGGGGGAGGGAGCTTTGGCACTGCAGATTTTGCAGGACTACAACTTCCATCACCCCGACCACTGGCTATTCTGGCTGCAGCTGGTGTGAGTTGGAGTCCAAAGTTTGGAGGGCCACAGGATCATCACCCCTGAATCATCCAGAAGCAAAAGCCTGGGAAATATATATTGCTCTGCTCTGTGTACTTTCAGCTTGTCTGGTTGTCCCCGAGCCAGGAAAGGTGGTCTCAAAGTGACTCCTACCAAGGAAGAAAAAGAAGACCCTGAACTTAAGTAAGTGGAGTGGCCAAGGCTTGTCATTTATGCCTCACTGTTCAGTTGGATACATCACAGGAAGATTGGTCTCAGATTCACTAACTTATATCCTCTCCTAACAATAAATCCAAACAAAACCTCCAAAGGATGGTTTTATGGTTCAGGTGCTGTTGTGCTGTCCTTGAAGTAAACCAGATGGCACAGCTCTGGAAAAGTCCCAGGCCTTAAGAAACAAAGGAGGAGCATAGTCTCTGGGTTTATCTGGCTCATCCCCCAGCCCAGATGAGCCAAACTTTAGGCAGAGTCCCTTTTTAGACACTCTTCTGAGCCCTTATGACCAGTAACCTCACCCTTCTGCCAGTCCTGTACACCCACATGTAGGGAAGGCTTATAGATCATACATTATTTCCCCTATCAGTTCACTGGCTGATGCTTACAGGGGCTGACAATTGTCTGCATCTGGAGCCTCTGCACGTGAAGATTTGACCTCCTTACTTCGTTATTAAAAATATATATATAGCAAGATAGCATATGGCAGGACAGGCAATAAAATAGAAAACATAATAAGAAGAGTGCAAAATGATCATTAAAATGATCGACTGATCAAAACATCTAAACAGTTGCATAGGCCTGCCTACATAAAAAGGTCTTTCAGAGATGCCCGAAAATCAAAAGTGAGTATACCTGCTGAAAAAGTGATCCACAGCATGGGACTCATGACACTATGGCAGATCACTAATGGAAGCTAGTCGGGCCTCCTTCATATTTAAAGCCACCATATTTAAAGTATTTCACAGTGCAATCCTTTGCATACACTCAAGTCCATTGAGTTCAATAACGGTGTATTGGACTGTATTTTTTAAAGTGGTCTTCATATGGCAGCCCTAATGTATAGACAGCTTGGAAGCAGCAGCCTGTGGGCCAATCTTGGCTCACCAAGGAGTCTAGTTTGGCTTGCTTGGCCATTTCCCTCAAACCGTGCCTTTTACTTGTTTCCTTTTTCTTTTAAATATATTTCCCTTGTTCCTTCAAATTAAAAAAAAACTTTCCAGAGCAGCTTGCAAAAAACCCCCACACTATTTAATAGTGCATATAAATAAAATCAATCAATGACTCTTAAAACAAGAGTAAAATACAGTAGCCTAAAATTCAGTAATCCAGCATCAAATAAGGCATTTGGTCATTAGAAACCCTTCTAAGAACATAAAAAGATGCTGTTGGATCAGCCCAATGACCCATCTAGTCCAGCATCTCACAGTGGCCAACCAGATGCCTACAGGAAACCTCCAAGAAGGACCCAAGCACATTGAAACCTTGCTATTAGTACGTTCATATTATAACAAAGTAGGCTTTACTTTATTTACGGGGAGGAAATCTTTCTTGAGGTGTTGTCGCTGGTACATGGACATTTCCCCCCTCTGCCTCTTGGTTTTTCCTTTTCTTTTTCCTAAAAATAACATCAGTTTTGCTGTGCTTCTGTAGATGTCCGGTGCTAGGCTGTGATGGCCAAGGTCACATATCAGGTAAATACACTTCTCATCGCACTGCTTCGGGTTGTCCTATGGCTGCCAAGAGACAGAAGGAGAGTCCTCTCAATGGGTCTTCGCTGCCCTGGAGACTGAACAAGCAGGAGCTGCCACACTGTCCTTTGCCAGGCTGCAACGGGCTGGGTCATGTTAATAACGTTTTTGTCACCCATAGAAGGTATCACTTTGTATCTTTACTTTTTTTTAACTCGACAAATACCTACAATGTATTGCAATTGTGTGAATTTAACAAATGAAGCTGTTGAACTGATAGGAAAAATCTTGTTAGGATTTTGCATAAGTCCCTGAATTAACCCCAACTCGTTTCCTAGAGATGTCCAGGATTTTTTGAGATGTCTTTGGTTTTATTTTAGCTGTCTAAACATTCACATATCAGCCTAGAATAGGTGAGAAATCTGCAAATGCAATTTACTGCTTAGCCTTAAAAGCTCTTTTTAAAAGGCAAGGTATTTTTAGCAGCATATTACTGAACTCTTCTTTTCATGTACATTTCGAAGTTGACTCTGAGTTGCAAGCTTTTTAGACTTTTAAGACTACAATCCTAAATTCACTTATCTGAGAATGCAAATATAATTTATTGCTTTAAAGTCCTGTTTAAAATGCAAAGTATTTTTAGTAGCAAATTACTGAGCTGTTATGTTCATTTGCGTATCTAAGCTGACCCCAGGAGTTGTAAATTTGGTGATGTTCAACTAAGTATTACTCCAAGTAGACCAACAGAGATTAGTAGACCTAGCTTGGTCATGTTAATTCATTCCAGTGGGTCTACTCTTGAGTTGAATTTAGTTAAATACCAGTCACAGATTTTAATAGAACAATCCTATACACATTTACCTTGGAATAAGCCCTCTTGAATCCCATGGAATTTATGTCTGAGTAGACATGTATAGGAATGTGCTGTAATTGGTCCAGGATTTTACACTGCTGCCTCTAGTTGCAGATAGCGTGACAGAGGTAGAGGGCAAGGCAGCAGGGTATTCAGCATGGTGCAAATGCAGTTGCAGAGCCAATCCAGCACTCCTGCAGTGTGTTTGTGCCACATTTGACCTCATCACTGCTTTGCTTCTCCTTCCCAGTAGAGAGCACTGACTTACCACCGCTGCACCATTATGTACTATTTTCCAGAAGGTGTGTTTAAGCTTCTGCTTTGGTAGCAGCCACCATCAAAGATGACCCACTACATAGTTCAAATGGGGCCATGTCAGGAGCTGCACTGAGGACAATTTGCCTATTTGTTGTCTTTGAGAGATTTTAGTAACTACACAACCAGTTCGGTCATTGGCAATATTCTGCACCCAGTAACACTGTAGTAGCAATATAGGATTGCAGCTTATATGCAGCACAATAAAATGGGCTTGTACTGCCAAGGCCCTAAAAGCTGAGATACAGCAATCAAAAATGTGTTTCAATTTTCAAATAGGTCCCCTTTCCTACTCTTTTCAGTTTGTCTGGATGCCCTCTGAATGCACAAGCCTTAAAAAAGGGCAAAATATCTGAAGAACTGATGACCATCAAATTGAAAGCAAGTGGAGGTAAGAAGATAACAAAAGCAGTACATATATGACACTGGAATCTGGGAGTAAGGAAATGAGTCTGTCTTTGCCCAGGACTGTCTTCTCTGGCCAGCAGCAGCTCTTTAGAGTCTTAGAAAAAGTCTCTTGCCATCCAGCTACCAGATATTCTTTCACAGAAGATGCTGTATACTGAAAGCAGGACCTTCTGCAAACACAGATCTACAGCCCCTCTGCTGCCTGCCTCATGAAGACACATAATTGGATTAATTAATTTAATGTTTGGTTTACTTAAAAATATATATAATTACATTGTGCCTTTCATTTGAACATTTTAATTAAAAGTACTTCGTACTGCCTCACAATGAACAGGACACAGGTGGAGATGGACAAATTTGCCTATATCCGTGTCTCATCTTTCCAATCATCAGTTCAGTCCACCAGATTTCCACTTCAAATTTGCAAGCATAACAATAAAAACCAACAACAATTTTAATCATAAAAATAGGCCTCACCAAAATTCATCAGCACTTTGATATGTGCTTCTCCCAATATGCACTTTTTTCAAGCAATTTCTCTTAACATATTTCTGTACGTGTGCATTTTTATGCACATGCTGTGGTTGGGGAGCTGCACAACAAAATTTGGGAAGGTGCAAATTTGGAGGGATCGCTGCTTTTCAGTGTGCTCATTGGTTCAGAAACTGCAAAATAAGAGGATCTGCATTGACATGTAATCCAAATTTCTCCCTCATCCTGAGCTATGGCGACCTGCACTCTGTTCCCAGGGTTGCCCTTCAACAAATATCGGTACTGGTACAGGCGGGCCACTTTCAGCCACTTGAAGGCCTATTGAGCTCCATCAGTGCAAAGGGAAAATTTCATGGCTGCTTCTCTGCCCCTGACATGCCATAATGGAAGCTTTGACACTGACCCCGTTAAGTGTAGAATTAAATTGCAAATGTGCAATTTTGATTCCAGAGACCAGGTTAACTGAAGAGGCTTGTTCTATAACATACCATTACACAGGGGTTAGCATTTGCCCATCTCTTCAGTCAGGTGTGATTTTACACTTGACTTGGCTCATTCTTGTGCAGGTTTAGAGAATGAGGAGGAAATCAGACATTTGGATGAAGAAATAAAAGAACTGAATGAATCCAACCTTAAAATTGAAGCTGACATGATGAAACTTCAGACACAGGTAAGGAAGAAAGTCTCTGATTGAGCCCTTAAAAACAAACATCAAAAACTCCTACTATTCTCTGGCATTGCAATGATGGTGAACTCTACTGCACAGAAGCGTAGAGTGGGTTGCCAGCCTGGTTCACATGAAGAAGCCGTTTTCAACAGAGCCCAGTAACAGAAGCACATGGCTGTATTGAGGTGTTGAAAATGTGCACCCGCTAACAATCTTATACCTGGGGCAACTACCCCTGTGCTCCCCTATGCTATGCCACTGCTACTGCATGTTGACCATTGAGAATTTTGTTTGCAAGCTGTTGTTAACATATACTATGTTTCCCATAGCTGCACCCATGGATCAAGCACTGTAGCAGCATGCAAACTGGGCAGAGTTGCATGGAAATCATAGCAACTTTCTAGCTCATTATTGTGGCCCGTGAAACCTAAGCAACATGGCCCAATTTTCTTTTTGGAGGCTTTGCCTTTGCCTTCTTCTACCTTGACCCATATATGGTCCATTTCTCTGGTTCAGCAAGGGTTTCATTGGAGCTTTAAAGGCGTTGTTGCTTCATCTGTCTAGCTTCACCTACTGTTGGTCTCCCTGCCTTCCACCCACTGGTTCAAAGTCATGGTCTCATAGAATGCCTGGGTTCAAACCTTTGCTTTTAATTTTTTCAGATCATTCTAGTTTACTGCCATACAGCCTCAGCTCAAAAAGGATTTTGTTGAGCTTGGAAAGGTTCAGAAAGGGGCAACCAAAATGATCAAGGGCCTGGAGCCGCTCCCTATGAAGCAAGGTTGCAGAGTTGGGACATTTTAGTTTAGAGAAAAGGCGAGTAAGAGGCGACTTGTAGAAGTTTGTAAAATTATGCATGGCATGGAGAAAGTGGCAGGAGAAAAGGGGGTTCCTCCCCTCTCTTATAACACTAGAACTCAGACTTCCAATGAAGCTGAATGTTGGAAGATCTAGGATAGACAAAAGGAAGTATTTCTTCATATAGCACATAATCAAACAATAGAACCCGCTCCCACAGGAATCAGTGATGGATACCAACTTGGATGGTTTTAAAAAAGGATTTGACAAATTCACAGTTGGAGGCAGCAATGCTTCTGAATACCAGGCGCTGGAAACCACATTGGGGACAGAGCTCTTGTGCTTGAAACCTGCTTGTGGGTTTTCCCCAGGCACCTGGCTAGCCACTGGGAGAAGAGGATATTAGACTAGATTTGCCATTGGCCTGACCCAGCAGGCTTTTTTATGTTCCTACTGAAAGCCAAATTTGTTGTTGCTTAAGCAGTTGTTTAACTGAATCTACAGCCCATTTTGGGGGGAAAAATCATGCTGTTATGGAAAGCTAATGATTTGCTCAATTAAATTTCCACAAATATATATATATATATATTATGGCAAATTTTCCACTTTTAAAAATGCATCATTTCATCAAATTAGTCTAATGAATGAGCACAATGTAAGTAAAATTGGGCAACTGGAATGGAAAAAAATACCAGCTAAATCTAAAATTCAAATTTTAATTTACTTTTTCCAACGATATGTGTTTGTGTGTATATACACAGCTCCTCAGGCATGCTAAAAATCAGAGATGGTATTCAACTAAGTCTTACTCAGATTAGATCCATTGAAATGAATGGACCTAACTTAGCTATGTCCATTTATTTCAATTAGTCTACTCTGAGTTGGGATGAGCTGGGTATGTTAACTGTTTTCAGTGCATTCATTTTTCCTCCTTGAAATATAAATAGTATACTGAAGTGTATGTTATGAGAGTTGTCACATCTGAAAATATTTAAGTATTTCTATCAAATGAGGAAACAGGACAGAAAAGATTGAATAGAGCCATCCCTATATGACACAGTATCTATCTAAAAATGTCTCAGGCCACATCCAAGCCATACATTGAAAGCATTATTGGACCATTTCCAATAGTCACCCTCCCTCCAAAATCCTGGGGATTGTAGTTTGTTAAGGTGTTAAGACTTGTTAGGAGACCCCTATTCCCCTCACAGAGCTAAAATTTCCAGTGGTTTAACAACCAATCCCTCTTCCCAGGGAACTGGGAATTACAGCTTTGTGAGGGGATAGAAGTCTCCTAACAATTTGCAGTACCCTGAAGAAACTACAGTTGCCAGACTTTTTTTTGGGGGGGGAGGCATGACTGTTTAAAGTGGTATTATAGAGTTTAAAATTATGGTCTCAGCCCCAAGCTCAATTTTTCACTCAGCTTCATAATAATATATATAATGCCTGGCCTATGTTACAATGAATTGTTGCAAAGTGAGCTCCTTCATTTCCTATTCTACTTTTTTATTTTTTAGCTTTTATACTCTGTCCTGTCTCCAAACTTGCCCACTCTACAGCATAACCTTGCCCTGGAAAGTAGCTCAAAAGCCAATTCCAGGGTTGCTGCTATTGTATGAGTCAGCAGCAATGCTGTAAGAAAAAGGCAGCAATGTAAATAGCAGCTTGCTTGCTCCCTACCTACCCCAGTCCCTAAGGGCAAAACTCTTCATTTTAAATCAGACACTCCTCCTGAGTTGTCAGCTCAAGGCCTGCAGTCTTTCGTCCATTTCTGAACACGCTTCCCACAAACAATGCTCTTTTCATCCAGCAGGGTCACTGTCTAGAGCATCATTTAAACATATTCCACTTCTGAAAGAACAGCAGAATTCACTGACTTAGAAATAAAATGGCTCGCCCCAATTAGGAGTGCCTTTTGACATTGATGTGCATGGAACGGAAAGGACTTGAGCTTCACTTCTGCATAGGCAACTTCCATTGCCCTGGGCGATCACTTCTGATAGCTGCATTTTAGGCCAAGAACCCTAATGTTCGCAGTAACCAGAACTGAATGCAGGAATACAAAAGAGAGAAAACTTTGCAAAGAGCCTGATCTCCCGGAAAAATAAATTATGTGCGTTGGCCCAATGCATTTTGCGGGAGCAGGGAATTTTCCTTCTTCAGGGACAATATCAATCACACACAAAAACACAGAATTGTACATTTAAAAGAACCCATCTATATGAAAATGTTTTACAGATGTTGTAAGTTGGGGTATGCATACAGGAACACAAGTTTTCATAATGTATTTTCGGTGGTCACCAGGGACTTTTGGCTGGTTCTGTTGGGTATGGGTTATCTTTGTTTCTAGATTGTATATGATGATTCTGAAAAATAATACTAATAAAAATAAAAAATAAAAAGAAGAACCCACTTACATCAGGAATTACAAATATAATTTCTCATAAAGCAAAAAGTGAAAGGATTTTTGGAAAGCATACTTTCCCGCTAAAATGTGCCAGGCTTTATCAGGCACACTAACCATTTTTGGGAGCATTTTGAGAACTCTTCAGCTGTTGGTTTTCTTCTGCTGTTCACACCACCACATGTTGCTTTGCTTCATGGTTTCAGATAACCTCTATGGAGAGCAATCTGAAAACGATAGAAGAGGAGAACAAACTTATCGAGCAGAACAACGAGAGCCTCTTGAAGGAGTTGGCTGGCCTCAGTCAAGCCCTCATCTCCAGTCTGGCCGACATTCAGCTTCCACAAATGGTATGTCTGTGGCTGGGAATGTGGCAGTTTCTCGGGGAGCCCAGGGAAGTTAGTCAACGGCATGTTGCAGGGCTGTCAGAGATGAATCTCAAACTGTACAACATTCTCAATCTCTGGGATGTGCCGAAAATTATGGATAGTAGTAGCAGCCAGAGGGGTGGCGGGGACTCACCTGGCTTTCCAATTACCAAGGGTGGTAAGGCAGCAGGCAGCTCGGTACAGAACAGGTGCAGCAACATGGCCAGTCCAACATTCCTAATTTTGTCCGTCCAAGGAGCTCAATGTGGTGTACATGGTTCTCCTCTTCCCCATTTTATCTGTAAGCTTTTCCCTATCAAGGAAAAAGGCAGAATCTAAATCTCAATAATATCACAGCAACCCTGTGGGGTAGGTTAGGCTGAGAGATGGTGACTGGCCCCATCTGAAGATCACATAGTGAGTTTCATGACTGTGGGGAATTAAACCCTGGCCTCCCAGGTCCAAGTCCAACTCTCTAACCATTACACCACACTGCCTGTCCAGTGCTGGTGGGATTGGCTGTGTTGCTGTGCATGCACCATGCTGAACTTCCCATTAATTTGCCCCTCCCACTCTCCCTCCTGGTAACTGGCAGGGACATGTGGCATAGGGAAACCAGGTGAGTAATGCCCCTCTACTGCTGGAGAAGACCATGACCACACCTTTAAGCACAGAAGAGCAATATTGTGGGAGTGGAGAAGGCTTGGGTCACATTCCTTTCTGGGCAATCTTCCAAGGGCCACATACCAGTGAGCCGAGGAAGAAATGTAAATGTTGTTTCTACAACAGGTTGCTTTTTACACAAACACCTCTCTATCCAAGCAAGCAAAAAAGCATGATCAGAGCTCAAGAACACATTTCCAGCCAGACAAAAACACTCAAAGTGGGTGCAAAGGAGGGGCAGTGAGAGGTGTGGACTAGGGAGGGGGTATGGTGTGGCTAGAAACCCAGGTGCCAGATAGAGGGCCACAGCATCCCAGTTCTCCATCCCATTGGCTGGCTGGGATCCAAAGAGCTGTTGTCAAAGACTTGACTACTTCTGAAAAGAAGTGAATTCAAAATGGCCAGGTCATTTTTCTCTGGTCAGGTGGTGATGCTAGCAACAGGCCATAGTCAGGCAATAGCTTAAACTAGGAATGGGTTACCTAGAGCCATATAGGTTTGGAAGAGACTCCAAGGATCATCTAGTCCAACTCCCTGTGATACAGGAATCACCCATGGTTCTAAATGTTGTCGGACACAACTCCAAACATCTCTGCCCGTCATAGTTGGGGCTGATGAGAGTTGGAGTCCAACAATATTTGGAGGGTTGCAGGAGTCAAACACTTGCTGTTTTCCTGTAGACAGTCCTTCCATGTCCAGCTGCTCCCCCCCCCCTCTCTCTTTCCAGTTGTCACATAGTGGACACCTTGCCTAATATTTGACTCCCATGTTTAGGTGTGATGTGTTTTCATCTTCATTCCAGGGCCCAATCAGTGAGCAGAATTTTGAAGCGTATGTAAATACACTCACAGATATGTACAGCAATCTGGAACGGGAGTATTCCCCGGACTGCAAGGCTCTGCTGGAAAGTATCAAACAGGCAGTGAAGGGTATCCACGTGTAGGATGAGGAAGCTGCTGGGCAACAGGAGTGACTTAGCAGCAGCAAACTCCAGATGGATCTGCAAAGAGCGCCTGGACTGCTTTAGAAGTATTGGTTTCTGTGCTGCATTTACAATTTACAACATTGCACTATTTTTTTCCCAGCTGACATAAAAAGGACAGAGAACATAACAGACTATTGTATTAACAGCAATGACTCAGATCATAGAATATATTTATTTCTGTACAAATCCTTTTTGTTGTCATCATGGTTTGCACTCTTTTCATTTTGTAAAGTGAATGTAAAAAGTGTGTGTAACTATTTTTTTACTTTTTTAATTTATTTTCAATCAAGGAGTTGTGTGTGCGCGTGTGTTTTTTAATCTTTTAACAGCATTTCTGCAGCCTGCCATATTTTTACAAATGTGTTTGTTAATTTATTTTCCAATGGGGTTTTAAAATAGATTGAAAGTTATAGTGTAAATTTAACATTTTGCTGGGTTTGTACAGGAAGAAGGGGGAAATCTATGAAAGAAACAAAAATAACAGAACTGTGATTCTAGTTTTATTTTCACCACATCCTGCTTTTTTATAACAGCTTTATTTTAACAAAACAAAAAAATTCAAAAGGGTTTTCAGTAGCATGAGATATGATGAACCAAGGTTGCAAAGGTGAATGGTGCCCTCTGCTGGAAGAACATAAGCTCTTCAAGTGCAGCATGTTGTAAGAGTTCATGATTTTTTTTTAGCAATAATGAAATATAGCAATCAGCAAACCTTTGGACTTGGCTGTGTGTCTTAGCCTGCCACAAATAACCCTTGGAAACCATTCGAGAGGGAAGGTTGGAGTGATTTAAGATATGTTTTCCCCTATTTCATGGTCATTCGTCGGGAAAATATATATATAAATTTTATCCCTTTTAATGTGATAGGCTTTGAAATGACCTGTAGCTTTTTCCCCTTTTTGTACAGAGCCTTGTAAAAACATTGGTCAGTAGATCAATATCAATATAATTTCATATTGGAAAAATGCATCCCAAGCTGATGATTTTGTACATACAATTAAGCCAAGCAAATCTTCCCTGAGATGTCAGTTATTGTACTAGGTTGAGTGGAAGGAACTGAGAAGGCTGCAGTTGCAAAGGGGACTAAGCCCCACTGCTGTGAAATGGGCTTGCACGGCAATGGTGTTTGGTGACTGGATCTATGAACTGTAGCAATGCACTGATTGGGTTTACCTCCAATTGTACATGAATGCTGTGATTCCAAGCAGATTTACTGCAAGTTCCATTAAGACTGCTAAGACGTAACATCTCAGAAAAAAAACCCTACTCCAGCAGCTCCATTTGAACATATGAAGCTGCCGTCTACCTGCCAAGTCAAACTACTGGTCCATCTAGTTCAGTATTTTCTACACAGGCTGGCAGTATTTCAGACAGGCGACTTCCCCGGCCTACCTGGAAATGCCGGGGAATGAGCCTGGGACCTTTTGTATGCAAACGCTTGACCACTGTGCAACGGCTCATTCCCCCTAAATGTGCATCTCTGCTGCCTCGTGCATGGAAGTGAATGGGGAAGCCTCTGCTTGCAGAAGAGATCTGCATATGTATCAGAATCCCATGTTCCTTTGGATCAGGTTGTTGCATGTGTTTGGAGCCGAGGTTTAAAGACAGCCTTAGTTGCAGTTGATTACCATCCCATAATAAGGATATGTCTCCAAATGCTACAGTCCTTAGGCAACCACTCAGAAATACGTGCACATCCCAGGTGGACCTCTTGATCACCCGTATCCATTCTCAGTTTTGTAAGCAGCTATAAACAGGGGTCCAGTGTCTGTTTCAGGGATTAGAAGTAATAATGCATTTTTTTCCAGAATTCTAATGTTTTCAGAAGAAGGTATATATACAACCAGCTGAACTGCCTTTTTTGGTATGCACACACGTCTCATGTGCATATGTGCCTCAATGTAAAATGTATACATGAATCTAGCGTGTGATTTAATTTTCCTGTGCTACAATGAAAGTGTTTATTTTTATTTGCCTACTTTATATTTTTTTGACTGAATATGACAGCATTCACAGTCTTCACTCATACATTTATATTATAGGGTTCCTATCCAAGAGTGCTTCTCCCAAATCATTCAGCTGTCATGCTGTGGTTGCTGTTCTGCAATAGATGGAGCTTGCTGTTAATGTTTGGGGGGGCGGGGGGCGGCGGTGATATGGCCCTCGGACCTTAGTTTAGACAAGAATGTCCTTAGAAGCTGTGTTTATTTTTTAAAGAAAACAATTTGACAGAAGCTATCACAGTATGTGCTAATATAAAATAGAACACCAAATTGCTATTAAGTTATTGTACTTGTGTTTTTTTTTAAAAAAAAGACGGTTGTTATACCTGTTCAATGCATTACAGGGGGAAAGAAACCAAGTTCACTCATGACAGAGACTAAAAGTTAATTTACTAAATATTTTAAGAAATTTGTTATATATTTAATTTAATTTAAACAATCTCCTACTGACTTATCTATTTATTACTATGATTTCCTATGGCTTCAGGTTAATTTATCTGTGTTTGGATTGTTTGCTCAGGATGTAACTTTGTATTTATTTGCCTTCTTGGTACTTGATGTTTTGTAATGTGCACTGTGATTCCTTCTTCCCTTCTTCCTTTCCTTTTCCTTTTCTTTGTTGGATTAATTTGCATTGACGAGTTATCCTGTAAATTAGACCTTTTGTAAAGAGCAATGATGTATGCTTTTTTTTTTAATTTGGAGTAGTTTGTATACTGTTTCTTCATACAATTAATATTTCTTACATCAAAAGCAACAAAACTGTGTTCTGTGCTGTACATTTGGTGTATGGTAGGAAATAAAATTGATACTGAAACAGGTTCCACAAGTTCTTCGATGTCTTCAATAGATGGGGGTGTATGGTGCACATCTAACTACACTTACAAACACTCAGCCAGTTGTTTCCAAGGCAAAACAAAACGTGGGGTTCCTCTAAACCAGGAGTAGCCAACATAGTATCAACTATAAGTTGTTTGACTACAATTCCCATCAGCACCAGCTAGCATGGCCAAAGGCGAGGGGTGATAAAAGCCACAAGCCAACACGGTGACCTACAGACACCTCTAAACTTTACCTTTAACATCTTAATGGAACACCCTGGAATGAAATTATTAGTGTGTGAATTTGTAACAAGATGTGTGTGTGTGTGTACATAGGGGTGAAAATATTTCGGAATACAACCAAGGAAGCCATAGCTACCACTTTTTAAGCATTGTACTATCACTCATGGGCAAAGTTCAATTGCCTCCAGAACAAGAAAGAAAGAAAAAAGAGAAAGAAAAAAGAAAGAATAGAATAAATTTGTACAGTGGTACCTCGGGATGCGAACGGGCTCCGTTCTGGAGCCCCGTTCACATCCCGAACAGCACGTAAGATGGCACAGCGCATCTGCGCGTGGCATTTTGCCACTTCCGTGCATGCGTGTGACGTCATTTTGACCGTCTGCACATGTGGCGAAACCTGAAAGTAACGCGATCCGTTACTGCCGGGTTGCCGCGGAGCGCAACCCGAAATTGCTTAACCTGAACCGTATTTATCCTGAGGTATGACTGTACTGCTTTTAGCATCTGATATATTTAAACACAAAAGCTGGCATGAAGGTTTTTTGCAGTTAAGATCCACCTCTTTCAGACGTTCTCTGAGATCTAGTGTTTAGTGTGCTGGATCTCAACTTCTCTGAAACAGCAGGTGGTTCTTAACTGCAGGAAACTTTGAGTCTGGCAACAAAATGTTGCTGCATATCCCCCCAAACCCCTCACAGAAACTGCTCAGAGCCCCTGCCAGCCAGTATTTTAGTGGCACTTTGCATAGGTACCATCTCACACTGAAGATTGTGGGTGCCCACAATGAAGGGCTTCAACGTTGCCCATTGAATTTGTGGGGGCCAAGCCCCACAAATATATTATTGTGGGTGCTGAAGCACCTATGGCCTCCTGGAGTTGGCTCCAGTGGCGTTCTGAGACATGGAAAGGTATCACGCCTCAGGAAGGAAGAAGGGTAGCAGAGTGAAAATACATCTGCAACAAAATGTTTCAGTGTCTATCCAGCATATCTGGTGTATTCCTGCACAAACACAGAGGCACCATTTTGGGTGTGTATTAAGAGAATGGAACAGTTTTAGATCTGGAAGAGTCAAAACCTCCCCAATCAGCCCTGACACGCCCTTGGGAACCTCCCCTTCTCACCAATGGTGAAAGAGCATTGGGAATGGTCCTTTCCACACTGCCAGGATGGACCTCCCTTTGTGTCTACGAAGAGGAAGAGCTGCAAAATCCTATGACCTCCAGGACACACTCAGGAACCAAAGGACTGAACCATTAAATGTTGTATGGACCCACTTTTTGTCCATTTATCCAAAATTCTCTTTCCTAGAGGTGCTCTACTACCACATGCAGGGACTTTGTCCTCCCTACTAATGTTACCCACCGGTTCATCTTGCCCTTAGTAAAGACCAAGAACACATTTCCTGAGAAATAGCTTTGCATGCAAATGGTGGTATGGAAGGCATGTTTGAAAGCCAGGGGGAGATGAGCACATGTATCACTGAGACACAAGTTAACTGTTGGGACCATTTTCCTGTCCTCATTTCTCTTATTTTTTTGGCATTTCACGAAAGAGGACTTAAAAATGCTTTCAAGTAGGATTCAGTTTTATTTGATTAAAAATATATCCAATATTTTGAAAGTTTTTGGAAAATTCAACAATATAAAACAAAGGTCTAAAACAAGTCAGATTATCTTAAAAGACTTCCACCGTCTAAACCACACTTCTCATGTTATTTAATTCTCCGTTGCCTCTGTTCTTCACTTCCATCTCTTTGGATCCCTTAATATCTTCCCTAATTCATTAAATTCTTTATATTCTTTAAGATATTTTAATTAAGATTTCTATTTTACAATGTATGTAAGTGTAATTCTGGAATTACCCGTTTATGGAAAATAGTATTTCTTTTTCTTTTTTTCTTTTCTTTCATTTTTTGCTTTCTCTTATTTTCTATTTTCTTTCATAGTTTATGTTCAACATACTGTAAATAATTGTGTTCTTTGCAGATATATCTGGAAATTTGATTGCATTATTTAATAAAGTTATAAAGGTAAAGGTAAAGGTACCCCTGCCCATACGAGCCAGTCGTGTCCGACTCTAGGGTTGTGCGCTCATATCACTTAAGAGGCCGGGGGCCAGCGCTGTCTGAAGACACTTCCGGGTCACGTGGCCAGAGTGACGAAGCTGTAGCTGGCGAGCCAGCACCAGCACAGCACACGGAAACGCCGTTTACCTTCCCGCTATAAAGCGGTACCTATTTATCTACTTGCACTCAGGGGTGCTTTCGAACTGCTAGGTGGGCAGGAGCTGGGACCGAAAGACGGGAGCTCACCCCGCCGCGGGGATTCGAACCGCCGACCATACGATCGGCAAGTCCTAGGCACTGAGGTTTTACCCACAGCGCCACCCGCGTCCCTTTATATATAATAAAGAGCTTGCACGGCAGCAGCTGAAGAAGGAGCAAAAAGGGTTTTCTTGTGTGTGTGTTTCTTTGTGGCTGATTAGCTGCTCTCCCTGTGCAAAGGTCAGAGGGGGCAGGGTTTCTGTTGAGGCAGGTGATTAGCTGTGGGAGGAGCTTATCAGAGCTTGCAGGGCAAGTTTGATCCATCTTTTAGATTTAGGGGAGCTAGTCTCAAACGTTTGTTTGGGGAGAGCTAGGTTTTTTTGGGGGGGGGAGTTATTTGTCCTGTCTTCACGCTTTTTATGATGGAGGACCGCTGTAGCCACCCCCAACGACACGTTCTCAAGATGGAGAGGGAGGGAACAGCTGCAGTCGCCTGCGGTTCCTGCACAATGTTTGCCATCTTGCCAAAGGTTGCAGGCAGCTTTACCTGCAGCAATTGCATGTTGATTGCCCTCTTAGAAGACAAAGTCCAGCAACTGGAGGAACGTGTAGCTATGCTCCAAAGAATTAGAGAGCTGGAGCTCTTCTTGGAAGCAACAGAGCACACCGTCTCCACCAAGGAGGAGACGGGACTCCCCTGAGAAGGAGGCTAGTTCACCAACACAGGAGCCAGATATTTGGAGAAACGTGACTCAAAGAAGTAGGAGGCCCAGGGTTCGCTCTGATTGTTTAGAAATACACAATCGCTTTGAGGTCCTCTCCCCTAGCATGGAAGACGAAGAGCAGACTCCATTTGAGGATCTCTCCCTCATTACAGTCCATCAGGTATATGAAGACAAGCAGCAAAGTCAGTCCTCAGGGAATGTGCAGGCGACCTTGGAACGGACAGCTCACGGAAGAACCCCAACCAAACCTAAGAGGAGGCATGTAGTGGTGATAGGGGATTCCCTACTGAGGGGAACAGAAGCAGTGATCTGTGGGCCTGACAAGATGTCTCGGGAAGTGTGCTGTCTCCTCGGGGCTAAGATCCAAGATGTAACTGAACGACTGCAAGGAATCATAAAACCCACTGACAAATACCCCTTTCTCTTGGTTCATGTGGGAACCGATGACACTGCAAGCAATAGCCTGCAGAAGATCAAAAGAGACAACGAGGCTCTGGGCAGGAAATTGAAGCAATTAAATGCACAAATTGTCATCTCATCTGTCCTCCCAGTTGAACGACGTGGCCCAGGGAGAGAGGGGAAAATAGTGGAAGTGAACAGCTGGCTTCGCAAATGGTGTAAACAGGAACGGTTTGAATTCTTAGATCACGGACTGCAGTTTCTTGAAGATGGACTTCTGGCAAGCGATGGGCTGCACCTCACAAAGGTTGGGAGAAATGTTTTTGCCAAAAATCTCAGAAACCTCATCAGGAGGGCTTTAAACTGACTAATGTGGGGGACGGAGACAGTGCTCCTGAAGGTAGGAGTCTATCAATTGATGAAGATGATCATCCAAATGTCATAGACCAAATGGAGCAAACAGCACACAGACCTAGTGGTGGGAGGAAAAAATCCTTAAATAAGAGACACGGGGGAATGATTGATGGACTTCAATGTCTGTACACTAATGCGCAAAGCATGGGAAATAAACAAGATGAGCTTGAGCTCTTGGTACAGAAAACTAAATATGACATAATAGGCATCACTGAAACCTGGTGGGGATAAGTCCCACGACTGGAATGTAATAATGGAGGGATACAATCTATTTCAGTGAAACAGACCAGACAAGAAAGGAGGAGGAGTGGCGTTATATGTCAGGGATGTGTATACCTGTGAAGAGATCCAAGATTTAGAACCCCAAAGCCAAAATGAGAGCATTTGGGTCAAAATTAAGGGAGAGAAGAATAACAGTGACCTCATTGTGGGAGTTTACTATAGATCCCCAAGCCAAACGGAGGACATAGATGATGCCTTCCTGGAACAGATGGCCAAGCATGCAAAAGGAAGGGAGATAGTAGTAATGGGGGACTTCAATTACCCGGATATTTGTTGGATGTCAAACTCAGCCAAGAGCATAAGGTCAAACAGATTCCTCACTGGCCTTGCAGACAACTTCATTGTCCAGAAAGTGGGAGAAGCAACAAGAGGAACAGCCATTTTAGATCTGGTCCTAACCAATGTTGATGACCTGGTTAGTGGGGTAGAAGTGGAAGGATCATTAGGCGCGAGTGATCATGCTCTTCTGAAGTTTACTATACAGCGGAAAGGAGCAGCCAAGCATACTAGGACTCAATTTCTTGACTTTAAGAAAGCCGACTTCATAAAACTTAGGGAAGTGCTGGGTGAGATCCCATGGACAGTAATACTAAAAGGAAAGGGAGTTCATGATGGCTGGGAGTTTGTTAAGAGGGAGATAGTAAAAGCACAACTTCAGGCAATACCAATGAGACGGAAACATGGAAGGTGCCTAAAGAAGCCAGGGTGGCTATCTAAAGAACTTTTAACTGAGTTAAGATTAAAAAAGGATGTGTACAAAAAATGGAAAAGGGGTGAAACCACCAAAGAGGAATTCAAACAAATAGCCAGCACATGTAGACACAAAGTCAGAAAAGCTAAAGCACAGAATGAGCTCAGGCTTGCTAGAGAGGTTAAAAGCAACAAAAAAGGCTTTTATGGGTATGTTCGTAGCAAAAGGAAGAACAAAGAAACAGTGGTGTCACTCAGAGAAGAAGATGGTGAAATGCAAACAGGGGACACAGAAAGGGCTGAACTCCTCAATGCCTTCTTTGCCTCAGTCTTCTCCGATAAAGAAAACAATGCCCGACCTGAAGAATTTGGAGCAAATGATTCAGCAAAGGAAACACAGCCCAGAATAACTAAGGAGATAGTACAAGAATACTTGGCTAGTTTAGATGTATTCAAGTCTCCAGGGCCAGATGAACTGCATCCAAGAGTATTAAAAGAACTGGCAGATGTGATCTCAGAACCACTGGCAGTCATCTTTGAGAATTCCTGGAGAATTCCTGGAGAACAGGCAGACTGGAGGAGGGCAAATGTTGTCCCTATTTTCAAAAAGGGGGAAAGAGAGGACCCAAATAATTACCGCCCAGTCAGTCTGACATCAATACCAGGGAAGATTCTGGAGCAGATCATTAAGCAAACAGTCTGTGAGCACCTAGAAAGGAATGCTGTGATCACCAATAGTCAGCATGGATTTCTGAAAAATAAGTCATGTCAGACTAACCTGATCTCGTTTTTTGACAGAATTACAAGCCTGGTAGATGAAGGGAACGCAGTGGATGTAGCCTACCTTGATTTCAGCAAGGCATTTGACAAGGTGCCCCATGATATTCTTGTAAAGAAGCTGGTAAAATGCGGTCTTGACTATGCTACCACTCAGTAGCATAGTCCTCTTCATCCTGGAGAAGAGTGACTAGTGGGGTGCCACAGGGTTCTGTCTTGGGCCCGGTCTTATTCAACATCTTTATCAACGACTTGGATGATGGACTCAAGGGCATCCTGATCAAATTTGCAGATGACACCAAACTGGGAGGGGTGGCTAACATCCCAGAGGACAGGATCACACTTCAAAATGACCTTGACAGATTAGAGAACTGGGCAAAAACAAGATGAATTTTAACAGGGAGAAATGTAAAGTATTGCACTTGGGCAAAAAAAATGAGAGGCACAAATACAAGATGGGTGACACCTGGCTTGAGAGCAGTACATGTGAAAAGGATCTAGGAGTCTTGGTTAACCACAAACTTGACATGAGCCAACAGTGTGACGCGGCAGCTAAAAAAGCCAATGCAGTTCTGGGCTGCATCAATAGGAGTATAGCATCTAGATCAAGGGAAGTACTAGTGCCACTGTATTCTGCTCTGGTCAGACCTCACCTGGAGTACTGTGTCCAGTTCTGGGCACCACAGTTCAAGAAGGACACTGACAAACTGGAACGTGTCCAGAGGAGGGCAACCAAAATGGTCAAAGGCCTGGAAACGATGCCTTATGAGGAACGGCTAAGGGAGCTGGGCATGTTTAGCCTGGAGAAGAGGAGGTTAAGGGGTGATATGATAGCCATGTTCAAATATATAAAAGGATGTCACATAGAGAAGGGAGAAAGGTTGTTTTCTGCTGCTCCAGAGAAGCGGACACGGAGCAATGGATCCAAACTACAAGAAAGAAGATTCCACCTAAACATTAGGAAGAACTTCCTGACAGTAAGAGCTGTTTGACAGTGGAATTTGCTGCCAAGGAGTGTGGTTGGAGTCTCCTTCTTTGGAGGTCTTTAAGCAGAGGCTTGACAACCATATGTCAGGAGTGCTCTGATGGTGTTTCCTGCTTGGCAGGGGGTTGGACTCGATGGCCCTTGTGGTCTCTTCCAACTCTATGATTCTATGAAGCAGATATCTGAAAGGTAGTGACATATAACTGGCTGTGTCATGCAGGTATAGTTAAGGAGAGCGACATCAGAGCATTCCCATCACAGTTTCCATTTCACCCACAACCAGCTGTGTGTCGATGAGAACAGGCAAAAAAAAAAATGTCTTCATAATGATAATCACAGTGTGTGTTACAGAGGAGGCAGAACCATAGAGGCATGCAAACAGCATATGTTTTCTCCTCATCAGTGCCAGAACAGTTATGCATCAAATGGGGTTCTTGACAAAATAGCATGGCATTTTCAATCACGTCTGAGCAAGGCAAAACAATTTATCTTGTGTGTGTAAAAATGAAGAAGAAATTCTCCAGGTTCATCAACTTTGTCTGTTTAATAAGGTGTTTTGGTAGAAGAAAATTAAGCAGTCTAAAGGGAAACTCTGCCTTACAGATGTATCCATGAACATAGGAACCTGTCTTATGCCAAATCAGCCATTGGTCCATCTAGTACACTTAATGGAAACAGTTCTCCAGGATTTCAGAGGGGACGTTCCCAGGCCAACATAGAGATGTCTAGGGCCCCTTCGACATGCAAAGAGGTTGCTCTACCACTGACTGAGCTATGGCCTTTCATTTCACAGAAATGAAATTTTGGTGATTTTCTTTGGATTTTCCCATTCAGCTTCAATAACGAACTTTACCCTCCATATCATTCTGGAAATAAGGGTTGGGTTAACGATGACAACTTCTCATAGTATACGCAAAGTCAACATTAGAAAAATGCTTCCTTTATCGTTAACCATACTCCTGGACTCAACTAGAAGAAATGACTCGAATTATAGTGAGTCAGAGAGAGTCCTTCTTCATAGCAGACCCCTAAGGTACCTTTTTAGGAAGTTTTGTGGCAGCCAGGTGATTTGACTATAATAGGGATGAGTTAGAAGTGGGGTTTGTGGTAGAGTTCCCATAACTCTGAGGAAATGTGCCTGCAGCTGGATGCAGCCTACATTTTTCCCAGGGCTGCGAAGTCAAAGCCAAGAGCTGGAGCTGCACATTTGCCTCACTGGGACAGATCATCTTTCAGAAGGTGGGAGGGAAAGATAGAAGAATTGGAATAATTTTTCTCCTCTTTACAGTCAAATCACTTGCCTGGGATTTAAATCACTTTAGAGTCTCTCTTGTGCACCGTTTATCGGAATGAAATGGTGATTGAGAATGAGGAACTAAACATGGGAGAGCGCTATATTTGCAGTATGGATGAACATTCTAGTCAGGATAAGTGATACACCTGGTTCACATTCCTTTTTATGTTTGTTTCAACAGAGGATGGTCTATAAGGTTGGATGGGGCACTGCACCACTGGCCTCAGCCTGCCGTCACCGCTTAGATTCAGGTGGACTTGCCTCTGAACAAACATGAAAAGGATTGTGCTGTAAGAGGAGACAGCTTTTGGATGTGAGATTTTGCAAATGCTACGGCTGCCCGTTCCACCTTTCTTAGCCATGTGGCTTTCTGCCAGAAGATTGTCAGGATAGGACTCTTTTGTTCACATGGCAAACGGAATTTCACCTGCTGAGTTCTGCTTTACCAAACGACACACACACACACACACACACACACACACACACACACACACCCCGGCTGCCCAAAACCTTAAAGGTCCATAGGAAAATATGGTTAAAAGGAGAGGCTACTATGTATCCCTATGTACCACTGCCCTCTACTGGAATTTAAGTAGAATAATTATTCTACAAAAAAAATTAAAACTGACAGAGGGCACATCTACAGTATAGCACAGATACATACTGGATTAATAATACCCATTGTCCTGCCCAAGAAATTCTGTTCAGTCTTGTACGGGGGAACTATGTAGCTAGACAGCTGTGGCAGTTCTCACCACAACTATGCACAGTATTGTACTGAAAAAGCTAAGTTAGGATTCAGAGCCTGCTGCCTTTAAAAAAAAATGCTGTATTTTAGGTTTGTGTAATTTTCTAATCCAATAGCAATTAATGTGTAGATGTGTTTTACCAAATTCTAACAGGGAAACCTTAAAATTGGTTATTTCTTTAAACCAAACTAATGGGGACAAATCACAAGATTAACATGTTTACATAAACTACTTTAAAGAACATAAAGAACATGCCTTTGTAAACAAAGAAAATCTTTAATAATTTTTATTGTTGTTAATTGATATTTTATACAGCAGTAAAGGGTCACTCTGGCCTGGTCTTTTTGCTTGTGCCTGCCAATAGACTTTACAATGTTACACTGTCTCCATAATGGTGCCTGCAGAGTTCCTTTAAAAAAAACAACCTCAAATGAAGCTTTTAAGTTAAAAAACAAACAAACTGCTGATGTGTTTTAACATGAAACAACCCAGGACTCTTCAGTACTCCACAGGCAACATTTTGTACAGCCATTCACTTCTTGCAATGCTCATGGAGCTAAAGAAACAGAGATATAAGAAAATATAGGATGCCCCTATTTTCAGTGGAGAATGTAGGAGGATATGGATATGGTTCAGAAGAATAGAGAAATAATAGAGCAACGTATAGCTTTATGGGGGTCCTGTTCTGTTCAAACCTGGGAGTTTTATTGGAATCATGTTTCAACTTGGGCTGTGGGGAGAGAGCCTCACATCACTTTGTCTCATTATTCGGCCCACACACAGAGTCAGTGCACACCACAAGTAGTTATCAATGTCAAGGTAGACAGAAATGGCTATAAATATAGATATAAACATACACCTCAGAAGGTGTCAAAAGTTTTACCTCATACTGACATTTCAGGACAGCGTGAGAACTGTAAAAAAACAAAAACAACCATATATTTGGTTATTATTATTCTAGTTTTACAGATGAGGAATTGATTCAGTGAGTGAATAAAAGGTAACTTGCCTAAAACCACTCAGAAAGCCTTCAGATGAGCAGGGCTTTGACAATCCTTGACAACAGTCCCAATAATGCACTGCATAACAACAGCTTAATGTGACTATCTGTGATATTTTTACAGTGCAATCTTATGTGTGCATACTCAGGAGCAAGTCCTCACTAAACTCAATGAGGCTCACTTCCATTGAAGCGTTGTAGGATTCACTCCGAGGTGTGAGTGGTAAAAGAGCTGACCTTC